TCCACTTCAGGATTGCTGTCATCATGTCCCCCCTCCCATTGTTGCCTCAACAAATGAGGTCGGGTTGCTTGGCCTCAATGTTTTGCACAACAACAAGGACCCACAAAGCTCAAAGGACATAATCCCAGCCCATCCATATGCCCACATTCACCCCGAAACCACCCCAATGTGTGCTCTTTTGCGCCATACATGGAGTCTGCTTGGTGCCATGGGTCACGACGGTCATGACCGGTTTCTCACCATCACTCGCTTGTAGGGACACATTCACCAGGTTTCTCCACTTTGATGACATGGGGATCGTCGAGCTGAAACCCAGCTCCAAGGCAACATACCCCAGATTCTCGGTCGATGCATGGTGATCTGGGGCCCTGACTGAGCAATCCGGGTTGCTTGCTGGCGTTTTGTTGCCCAAAGCACGTAGTTCTAGTCTTAGCATGTGTCAGAGTGACTTCCCAAACAAGCCGACCAGTTCGGCGGCTCCGTCCAGTCGTGCCCACGCGGACGACCGCCAGGCTGCTGCCCCCCGAGGACGTCGAGGTGAGGGACGTCTCAGCAAACGTGCGAGGGAAGCACGGCTGATGCCAGCACCCAGCGACGAGAATCATGATGACTAACAAAGAACAAACGCGCAAAGAGCAAACACTATACCTATATTTATGACCGATTATCAATTGTGTATAAATTGTAATATTATGTATAATATTGATGTAAAATATTGTAAAATAACATTAATGCAAACAAATCACACAGAAACAAAGTGGTTTCTCTACCATGCTCGCTCCGTGTATAGGTTCCTCATGACAGTATTCAAACACCTCACTTGGGGCGGCAGGGTCCAAACAGTGAATCCACAATGTTGGCCACCTGCCTGCCAAGGCGAAACAACCTCGGACATCCTCGGACGAAGGCTTAACGAATCTTAAGCACGATCTCGCTCTCTCGATCTCGAAGCTCAGGTGGGCTACGACTACGCTGAATTGATCCCCCTTTTGTTGAAGTAAAACCATCTCTCGAAGCACCCAACTCTGCCAGGTCTCCACCTGCGACCTTCAAACAGTCTCCAAAAGCCCACCAGTTCGGAGGCCTGTAGAGTCAGGGAGTCCAAACCTCGAGCCTTGGTACTCCCCTTGGTAGACCTTCGTTGCGCCCGCTGCTCCGGGCCCAGTGGCGTGGGTTTGGTAGACGTTCTGCTCTTCCTCACTCGCCTGCGAGGCTGCCTGGTCGCAGAACAGGCACGCGGCGCGGATGCGGACCAATCCTTGGACTAGACTGCTATATATAATAATCTCTGGTCGGTCAAGCATGCCTGAGGCATGGGTGACACCACACTTCTCAAGACCTGAAAAAGCTGCATGTTCAAGCCTCACACAAGCTAGAACCCATTTAAGACCCTCCTCTCAATAAGACACACATTCTCGGTTGCACGGCAAAACCCACAAGGAGCAAATGTGAAATGCATGTCCGGTGGATCTTTTACCCAAGGCGAAGTCCCTAAACACTATGGCTGCAGCCCAGCGGGTCAGGTCTGCCCGTTCGGTCGACCGCGTGGCCAAACGCATGAGCACCACGGTTCCCCACCGAGAGCGCTGTCAATTTGTGCGACTTTTGGTGAAAACCCCTTCAGTTTCTCCCCTGGGGAAAGAAGGATTTGCGATTTCGCACGGATCATGATCATGTCATGTTCAACCATGTTGGATCATGAAACCGTGCCCCAAAAGGTTTAAGGATCTTTAAGGAAGTGGTTGAACGTAAGCCACCGTTTTGTTTAGTAATGCTACACTAGCTATAGTCGCACAACACATGGAAAAACATATCATCTATAGATATCTATAGCTTGCCAAATCTTAGATCCCTTGCTATATAAGGGTTCCATTCTCATTTTGGTTTTCCTAGAACAAGGCCAGGCGCTTAGAGGCGAAGGTCAGGGGTATTGGTCGGACGGATGTGCAGCTCAGCCACTTGCGGCAAGTGCGGCTTGTGAAAGCCTCGGGTTTCGTGGGTGGTTCGATCGTGGGGTTGGGGGGATTCCAACAGATCCGGCTCCTTGAACGGCCGAGGTGTCCTTTTTTCAGTGAATTCCACGAAGATTCCAACGAACTCAATGGCTCTGTACCTCCTTTCCCCTGCAAAAACAACATGGATTTCAGCAATAGAGCTGACATGTCGAAGTCTCGACCGCTGCCTTTCTCCTGACTTCAATCAGGTAGTAGTGCCCAATGCTCGTTGTCATAGTGCCAGCAAGACGCTGACATCTAAGGTGCCTCGCATCCCCAAGGAACTTCTCTTGCCTCAGGAGCTTGGCACAGGAACCACATGAAACCGATGCGTTTGGAAAAACCTGGTTAAATAGCAAGGCGCTATCTTCTACCAAAAAAACTCCAAAGTGGATTCCTTTGGTATGCTTGCTTGGGTTCTTGGCCCTGCTTCATTGACCCGCATCCATACATTCCATCATGCTAACTATATTAGTGGGAATAAGAAGTGTTCCCACAATGATTCCCAACCCTGGAACAGGTTTTTGGGGTCGGAATTGGAAAGACACATTTTTCACTCATGGTGTTTGTCTCTAAAACCCTTGTTTCAAACGCATCGTAATCACTGCTGCAAACATTTGTTCAAGGTCACGACGCCGACAATGGCTCTTGCTGCTACGGCTGCTATGACCACTACAACTACTACCACAACTATGCCACAACAACAGCAATGACTACAACAACAACTACTGTAGGTGACCGTGTGTGCCAGTGCAGTGCACACCATCTTCTGAAACGGTACTGTAGTTCACATGGTCTCGGAACAGGCTTTGATTCCCACGCCTCTGAAATCTCGCCCATGGCCGACCGAGGCGCCATCATCCTCGCTTTTGCCGCTTTTCCCGCTCCGCGAGGAAGAGTGGCTGCTGGCCGGAGTGGAAGGCATTGAGAGGCCTGGGTTCCCGACGTCGGGCCAAACGTCGGTTCAAAAGCGGAAGTGTTTTGGTTCACGCAGCTTTTCAGGTGCAAAACCACCCTAACACCACCCCTCTGCCGCACGTATTCACCTCTTTGTCTGCACTGGACTTCTCTTCTGCCCCAGTGGCTCTTCTGGTAACTGCTGGTGGACATCGTCGACTCAGAGGCCACGTCCGATGGAGCCTCAGCCGAGGTGTCAGTCCTTGGGCTGATCCCTGAGAATGCTTAGCTGTTGCACCCATGGACAGAAAAAATGGTGCCATATGTTGCCAGCGCACCACTATTGCAAAAAAGATGCCAAAAGGGGTTGATGAAGGCTTATAGGGGAGAATAACAACACATCCCCTCTCATCACGCCTCGATTTTTCTCTTGATCCGACGGTGTCTTCCCCTCGTACTGCTTGCAAGCTTGGGGTTGGTTCACAGGATTCTGAAGTCATTCACCCCGTTCTTCTTCGACTCACCATCTAATTAGTTCATCATGACACTGTGCTGGTGTTGCCTGTCCAAACCTACTCCCTTCAATATCTTCCCTAGGGCTCCAAGTACCTTCTGAGAAGGTGTTTGGGGTTTTAGAGGGTCCAAATACCTTCTGAGGAGATACGACTGGAGCCCTAGGGCTTCAATTCTATCTTGACACATCGTCTGCCAGTCGTACCGCATATCCCTCCTTCGAACCTTTACATCCTCGGCCGACGAACGGTGCGAAGGACGAAGCTCGACGACGTCGGGCCGAAACTTGGGAAGCTCGGAGGGCGCCAGCAGGGCCAGCAGGCCCAAATAGAGAGGATGGCACGGTTTCCAATACATGTTCTACGTGGGATCAACTCTCGACTTGATCTCTCGACTCAGGGGGTCTATATCTGTAGGTGCCCATATAGACCCTAGGGATCCAAGTACCTTCTCAGAAGGTGATTGGAGACACTCTCATGTAGTTTTGGAGGGTCCAAGTAACTACCTTCTGAGAAGGTACTTGGATCCTAGGGAGATGAAGTCGCACTCACCTGGACTTTCTGACGTCGGTCCCGTAGGACGCGATCCATGTACGTAGTGGGCTGGGTATTCCGTTCACCTGGGGAAGATCTCCTCTACCAGGGCCCCCGGTTTGGTGTGTCAAATCACAGCCGCCTAGAGGTTATATAAGGGGTACGGTACGGGTATTCATGAACTACCCGCCCGTTAGGATCCTGTAGGTGACCAAGTTCCAATCCGGGATGGTTTAAGGTTCGAGGGTAGGAGTGCCGTCGGAGTGCCCATCAAAAACCTTTGGAACTCCTAGAGGGTTAACATCTAATTTGCTCTGCCAATGGGCACATTTCACTATGTGACCCGGAGCATGATTCACCAGCCCACTCTTTATGGAGTTTGGATTTTAAGGCTGTTCTATGAAGAACCAGCCAACGGCCAATCCCAAACTACCCATGGGACTCGGACTGGTTACAAGGTTATATATATATATATGTGATGTGTATATATATATACATACATGATCACATACATGTAATAACAAACCTCAGTGTATGACATGTATGACCCTTCCATGGTGGCAGAAACCCTTCCAGTTCCATCTGGATGCTCTGAGTCTTCCCAGTCGAACTCCGAGCTGCTCGGGGGAACCGCTCCAACCACTTGCCGCTGCTGGGCGTCAAAAAGCGAGGCTCCAGCAAGGCCTTGACATCACCACCGAAACGGAAGAAACGGTGTTGGAAGCGACCGAAAGCCGGCACATAGAATCACGACCTTCACATCCCTCGACTATATATACTATATATGTTGTAAAGATGTTTATGGGAGGTTTGGGGGGAGTGAATGACCAGAGGCCAGCATTTCTACCAACCGTTTCCGCAGTTTGGGGTGTGTGACTCCTATGGCAAAAGGAGCGGGGCAGCGCCAAATCCAGTTCCTCGGACACGGAGTGTGGCGCCAGATGACTTCCCACATACTTGTGGGCAGGGCATGAGTCCCTCCACCCCAAAGAGCCACAACTTTCTCTTGATGTTCATCTTCTACAACTCAAACCGCTGTTTTGGTTGTTGAGGGAGGCTCCAATCAGTCTGCAAAGAAGACTTGAGGTCTCTCGGGCCGGGCTGCGCCGTGGATCTGTGATTTGGCCGTGTCCTCAAAGCGCAGGCACAAGGTCAGCCACAAGGCTTGGTTCGGTGCGCTGGGCTTCTGGATGAGGCATGGGTGTCCTTAGCAGAATGGGCGGGAGATACCAGTAACAGTGAGGCTCATCTAGCTTGAACCGGGTGTCTTCCAAATAGCAAGTGGGTGTTTGATTTGGAATAGAACCTTGTTGTCAAGTTTCTTGCTGGCTCCGTTAAAAGCATGTAACACAGCCATGTAGTTTGTTTGGTCCTGCTTGGGAGCAAAGAGCTCTAAGAATGAGGCAACATCCACATGCGCCTGATACACTCAAGACTGACCTATATATACAGTCATGGAACTTCAAGAATTTAGATTTCTTCGTAGTGGGCAGCCATGCCAGCGTGGAGATATGATGATGATGGAGACGTTACGTGTGAAGAGTCTGCAGAGACCATCTCCTTCCTCACAACCACGAACATAATCCACCGCTTCTGGCGCCACAGCCAAGCACCACTATTTCAAAAGTTTTGCGCCACATTTTGATAGAGCTTTCGCTTCAAGATTTTTAACGCACTTGGATGGAGAACGTGGACCTGTTGGAGCTGCAAAAAGAAAGGCTTGACTTTGACCGGGACGTTGCAACTTCAATAGGTCCAACTCGTACTTCACACTATTTGCCAGATATTTCTCGACCCTCTGCGGAGTCATGTGTTGATGTAGGTCTGTGCGGCCTCGAGGATTGCCTGAGCCAGCTGGAAGCACCAACCACTGGGCTTATATGCTGATTGCTCAATATGCCCAGCTTGGACGTGAAACTTTCTCGGTTTGACATTTACCTTGTATTGGCGCTCAGGAGCGGAGGCTCGACGATCTTGGATTGGAAGATTATAATTGGAGCAGTCGGATCCAAACACCTGAAGCTTGTAGGTGCAATGTGCGCCCGAAGCTTCAGTGCCTTGCGCTCGGCCAAGCTCGATCAATGGGGCCTTGCAGGAATGAATGAGTTGGAGACGGAAAACCCGTCACAATTTTGCCAGCCAAATTGATTTGGCCGGGAAAACCCGTCACGTTTCAGACCGGGGCCCCAGCCCCAAAATGTGATGGGGTTTTTGAAAAACCCGTCGCAATTAAATAAGGAAAACGAAAACCCGTCAAACTTTCCAGCTCATCCCCAACTTCAAAAAGTGATGGGTTTTTCCAAAACCTATGGAATTGTGATGGGTTTTTTAAAAAACCCATCGCTTTTCTGGGGCCAGCCGAGCTTCCAGATTGTGATGGTTTTCTGAGCAAAACCACTCAGCCAAATGGATTTGGCCACCAAAAATGTGATGGGTTTTTTAAAAAACCCGTCGCAATTTGACCAGCCAAATCCATTTGGCCGGGAAAACCCGTCACAATTTGACTAGCCAAATCCATTTGGCCAGGAAAACCCGTCAAAATATAGCCAGCCAAATCTTTTTGGCCAGGAAAACCTCGAACACTTGGTATACCTAGAGGGTCCATCCGCTTTGCACTTGGAGTAATGAGGTGTTGCAAAACCTGTTTGGCATAAAGGACTTGTCACGATTTTACTGTTAAATTGTGTTGGTTCAGTAAGGACACCTCAGTTTCCAACAAAGACCAAAGCAGAAGGGCCGGGGCGTTGAGCTGGGTGCGCTTAACCTTGGTAGGCTATTTGACTGCCAGCTAGCTGGCAGCCGGTGTGCCCGTTTACTGGCAGCCACAACCTGTTTGAGTTTGTGGTGTGTGCTTCTTGAAGCTTTGAGCTTCTGGAGGGCCTTAGGACGAGGTGAGAGTTGTTCGAGTAAAACGGTCGCGTCCGTTGAAGGTTGCCTTGAAGCTTCGTGATTCTTAGAGCCGCGGCTTGTTGAGGCGATGTGGTAGCGGGGGGACAATATCGCGTCACATGGACGATCAAAGTGAAAAATAGCATAAGCGAAGATTCAACCTTTTGACCTGCTGGCTTGGTTGCAATGTGCGCATGGAGCCTGGTAATTGAACTTGGTGCTATTTGCTATCATTATTGTTTTGAATGGGATGCCACGTGATGCGTGCAAGTGCTGATTGTTTGCAAATTGCAGCAAATTCTGCGAGTCCGTGGAAAAAGCTGCCAGCATGTGCTTTGGAGTTTACCGGACGGGTAGAAATTTGGACACCCACTCGCTATTTGGAGGACACCCGGTTCAGGCTAGATGAGCCTAGTGGTTGATGATGCTTCGGTTGCAGGCCATTCTCTCAATTAGTGTGTTGCTTGTGAAACCCGACTGCTAGAGATGCTGACTGGACGTCGACCCTATATATCTAGCGCGACAGACCCGATCGGTCCGGTCCGCTACGAAGCAAACATATACATATATACCTGAAGCCTGAGTGACCTCTGTTTTGATAGGAAAAGACCATATTTTGGATAGTTGATCCGCCAAAATAGAGGTCACTCAGGCTCTAGGTATATACATATACGGGTGTCTATAAAACGACACCCCTGACGATGTATTTCGATGCATTTCCCTCCCCAAGAACCACCCGTTGTCGCGGTGATCCATGCTTTCTCCTTTTCAACCACCCCAATTGATCGGAGCAATCGCAGGTCCGGCTACCACACGAGGCACCACGAGTCTCCGGTGAGCCCAGTCTCCGCTGTTGGTCTTCCGTGTCGAGTCCGCTTCGGTGGTATCTCCAACACCGGAGCGGCTGGAACCGTGTAGAGGCGTCTATTTTTTAAACCACCTATACTGAGGACCAATGACTTAGGACTTGTTGGTCCCAATGACAGTCAATGACATGGGTAGTTGCCAGGGCGGTTGTCCCAAGTCATCATGAACCAGGAAAATGGGACCTGAGGGAAATGCAAAGCAATATGACATCCACATATCATATTCTGTCACCGAAGCAGCCACCCACATCCACATGATATATCCACATGATCCAACAGAGACAAAAAATGGCGGTGGTCCACTCGACATCACCAAGAGGCCAAAGCGCTTGTGGGGGCACACCGTGGCAAAGAGCCCATTCAGGTGCCTGCGCACACACGAGCCACCGAGCCACCAAAACATACCAAAACCACCGTGTAACATACTCGGCCGAGTTTAGTCAGTCAATGGGTCGGCTTCGCTTCTCCATCCATGAGCACCGCCAATCTCATTTGCCTTGCCAGGCCTCATGTGACTGCTCTGCAGCCCTCCCACTACCAGGCGCGAGCCCACACGCCAATCTTGATGAACCTCAGGCGTCACCACGCGCGCTGCGACGCGCTGCGTGGTGGTGAACCGCGCGCCACGCGTGCACAACGCAGCCGATGAGAAAGGCAGCCAGGGTCCCGGTGTCCAACGGTCCGGCACGACGTGAACCCCAAAGGGCCAAAGAACTGGAACCGGACGAAGAAACACGTGCCTTCATATGCATGTAGAGGTACCTGTATATATATATGAGTATAAGTCTTTTTCATTGTTGATATCAAAACATGTAATTATATAAAACACACGTATACTTGAAGTCAATCTAGTTGGCACCTTTCGATGACGCATCTCCCCACCGCATCTCCCACCGCCCAGTCTGCGCAGCGAGCGGCCGGTATGATCTCCCGGAAGTCCACGGAGCACTCGCCCACGACGAAGGACCGGGAGTCGTCCAGCACAGCGACCTATGCAAGGCGCGCGGCGGAGCGTGTGGAGGTCACGGAAAACGTCGAGTGGGAGTGGAAGAGTTACATGGTACAAATCTGCGTAGTTCTACTGTAAGAGATGTTGTAGCATACCAGCAGTCCAAACGAATTCAACATGAAGAAGTCTACTGGATATCGGAATGGATGGGTCTTTTGAAAGAGGGTGCGCTCTGGCAGATTCACATTGGAACCTGAAAAACCATAGGTTTGTAGGGGGAAATAGTCTTCCAAAGGTCCATTTTCAGGTTCTATGTTATTCTTCCCGGGTGTAAGCATTCAGAATGGAATGGAACTGATATACACGGAATGGACCATGTATGAAAATGACCCGTGAAAATGACCCATACATGTATATCAATGTCTGTTATGCAAATATGTACAGTATTGTACAGTATATGTATTACCAGGATGGTATCAAATGGGTGTCTAATGAAGATGCATGCTTGGTCACTCATTGGATGATCCAGTATATATATATATATATGATCATGGATGGGTCCTTTTGATGGGTCCTTTTGTGTCATGTTCATGCTTGGATGGTTAATACCCAGATTTCTGGCTCAGGTGAACAACGGTGAATGTTAAGGGGAAATCGGTCAGGACCTTCCAACGCAATCAGTGAGACCTCGGTCATGTCGGAGGCTTCCTGGTCATGTCGCCTAGGGTTTTGGATGAGTTCACCTACCGTACGGACCGTATACCGTATACCATACACCTGGAGCAGTTTCAGTTCACCGGCTCTGAAAGCGGCCGGATGGACCTTCCAGTCTGTGTGATTGAGCTTGGATAGCCCCAAAAAGAGCGCTGTGGGTCCAAAGCCGGAGCCTTCAAACCCTGGTAGGTTGATCTCCCTACCAGTCTATTGAGTCTATGGTGTTCATTCTCTGTGGTCCACCAGGCTTTTTCTGGGTGCCATGACCCACAGTCACATCCACCCAAAAGGACACGCTCACGTCTCACCACGCGCCACGTCTCACCCCGTCCGCCGAACAAGTCGTCTCTGCCCCCCGGGCGTTGCAAAAGTCGCTGTGGACCTCCTGGAGGCGATGGGCGGTGTTGCAAAGGCCGGGCCTAAAGCAAACCCAAACGAGACCTGACTGAAACCCAGATATGGAGTGGCTATGAGTGGCTAGTAGTTTTCACCCATTGCTCACCTACATGGAGTGGCCATGAGTGGCAATTGGTGTTAAACTCTTTCATACATGGAGTGTGGGGGGGGCAAACACGTTCCACTTCGTCAAAGCCCGTTGATGTTTGGAGGGCGATCATGTCGACTGGCAAGAGCTCACATGCGTTCAACTGCTTGCCAAAACACCGCAGAACCCCCTCGGCCCTCGGCCCCTTTTTGGGGGAACGCCATGCGCAGGGTTTGGGGAACGCTCTCGTGCAGCTCCCACGCTCTCCACGTCACTCCGACGTGGCATGGGTTGCGGCCACCGAACGGCCTCCGAACGCACCGGCCGCGGCGACGCTTCAGCTCTGGGACGAAGCGGGGACATGGTCTGTACCAAAGAAGGTGCTCGGGGGAGGTTGGGGGGTCAAAGTAAGAGCTGGCTTCACTGCAAAGGGTACAGTACTAGATGGTGGTTGATCATGATTGTTTTGTGACTAGGCGTTGATCCCAGAGTGAATTTGAGGGTTACCAGTTTGGGCAAGTTTGAGTATGAGTTGAAGCGTCATTCCACAAGAGTTGCCCCCTGAGGAGCGCTGCTGAGACCTGCAAGCATCTGACAGCAAGGCCCAGCAGCAGCTATGACAAGGCCTTCTCCCGAGAACGGCCTAAAAAGTCATAGGCTTCCAGTTGCCCATCACATCATCCCCAGTTAGCACGAGGAAAATGGTGCAAACAAAGAATTGTCGCTGTCCTGAGAACGTCCCAGCTGATGTTCCCCAAATGTCACAACTGTGTTCGTAGATGTTCGTAGTCTAAGCGAACATCTTACAGTATACTGTTGGTAGAAGACTTCGGCAACAATACCTTGACCTTTACCTTATTCTTTCTGATGTCAACGGAAATGGTTTGGTTGTTTGGTTCGTTCATCGGATTCCGTATTGATTTTGGCTTTAGCTCACCTGATGCATCACACATATATAATATATAATCACCCCACGTCTGTCGAACAACAGTAAAGAACAATGTAAGGACTTGTGTCAAACAACATTATTATACATGCAGCAGATTTGTTGGGTGCGTCGATGTTACGGAAGTTGATGGGCTCTATGCTACTGACAGTAGTTCCAATTCCTGGTGAGTCAAAGGCGAATGAAGCCTTGAACCATAATTAACAGGCGAACCAATCCAAATCTCGAGGCATATCTTTGGGCCAACATGAACGTCATAAACTTGTGGCTCAATCTCGCCATAACTCCATATCTGGGAATCCATCTGGTGATTTCTTCCAACATCTGTGCAAAAAACACAAAGGGTGTTTCGTGTAAATAAGTTATATATTTATATATATAGAGAGAGAGGGAGAGAGGCCTCACCTCAAAATAGGCACTGCTAATAGAGACCAGCAAACTGGGGATCCTGTCATGTACCAGAAGACGCCATCCCACACTTCAGCTTCAAACAATTCCGTAGGTCTGTCTATCGGCCTTTCACGAAAACGACTTCGTGAAACGGTCCAGCGACAAAAGCACGCCTTCTTCGTGCTTGGGAACACGCTGGTCTTTTCCACTGGGGTACTCGACCAAACCGTAAAAATTCAACCAAACAGGGACAGCGCAGGACATTCAAAGTGGAAACAGTCCTGCCAAGAGTCCTGCCAGCCGTCACCCTGCTCCACCGAATCCTCGGGCTCATCCTCTTAATGGGCCCTCTTCTAGGAGCGGGTCTCACTGGTTTCCAGCAGTTCCTGATTGGACTATTGAGCCAGCAACACGAGTTGAGGAAATAGAAGTGTTCATCCCTCAAGTCAATCCAAGAGTGATCCCCAAACCAAGTCAGTGAATCGGTTGGGGCCCTTTATGGATTCCATCTCTAGAATTGATCCACGGCCCTCTGAAAAGAGAAGGGCCTTCAAATTTGATTTGACACTTCGATGGCCGGTGCCGCCGGTGCCGGGGGCTCGACACCCGGCCGCGTGAACGTGCGAAAGGCGACGGCTGCCGCGAAGTGGTGCCACAGGAGCTCCGCTCCACCGTGCGTGAGGAATGATAGGGTGGCCACGAGCAAGAAGTAGGCTAAGGACCAAAAGAAGCTGGCCCGATAAGCCTTGGTGGATGCCACGTGGGGTCAGACGGTTCGAATCCACGGGGACGAATGGACGAATGGACGGGGGCGGGGTTCTAGCAGATCTGAAGAAGAGCATGGGGGGACACCTGGACTCCACCACTATAGTAAACACTCCATGGACCGACCTATGTGACCTCTTTAAAGGGGTGGTTGAAGATAAACTGACTAGAACACCCCAATACCTATGACTGACTCCATGGAACGAGACCCCGTATTGGGCTGGTTCAAAGACCGAAAAGGGGCCAGGTCTAGGCGTATACTGACTCGCAGTCAGTGACGCACCTGGTGGACCTCTAAAGGAATGGTTTTGGACCCTAAAGAGTGGGTTAATAGGGGAATTCCTGATCGCCAGTCAGCGAACCTTAGGGTCTCCTGGAAGATTTCTATGTCTACATGTCGACCCCTTGTCTTAGCGACTCAGAAGGCACTCGCGTCGACCCGCATTTCGGGAAGGACATCGCCAAGGCACCACGATCCAGTTATAATATCCACGGTCCGGGTGGGCATTTCGGGAGGGAGACTCGTCCAATGGGTAGACCAATTCGTTGATGTCCCTTTCTTCCAGGGGGGCATTGCCTGGGAGGTCTCCCACTTTGACAGCTGAGATCAGCTGAGCAGCGGTGCTGCCCAGCATCATGCCACCGAAGACCACCAAAGCAAACACGACGAAGGTCAAGAAAGTCCTCACCACCAGGGCGACAGGGACTGGAAGAGGAACACATACATTTGCCATACTTTGCCCCCATGACCCATTGTCGGATCCGAAAGAAAAACAAATGTAATATAGTCCCATGGATGGTCTGGACATGGTCATGTTGATGGGAACTTACAAACATTGACCCCCCGTTGATGATCATTGATGCCCGGTATGTACCTCTTCCAGTCCCATCGATGGTCTGGACTCCAGTCGTTGCTGAGAAACTCCTCTCACGCGGAGCGGAACGATCGGGACTCGACAGAGAAGACAAGGATCCCCTTCGAAACACTGTGCTTGACATCCTCAAACCATGCATGTATGAAATAGTAGTTATACCTACGTTAGGGTCATAAACAATATTATCGTATGATTTTACATGTAACTTTGTTTATATTCCATACATAAATGGTCTGGGATCTATTTTACTATAATTATCTGTGTGTTCAAAAGGTGGATAAAAAGGTCATTTTTCAATATATTCTTCCCATGTTTATTATAGGTGCTTCATGATTACCCCTACACCAAGACCCACACAATTGACACAGTTAAGGTGTCTTGGGTCACAAGATTTCGTGGGCAAAAACCAAAAAGGCAAAACTCAAGCAATCTGACTGGTGATGCGTTTCTGCAACGTTGGGCATGCACTAGCGACTACCTCAGCTTCCTTAGCAAAAGCACTCAACCGTTGTTGCAGCCGTGTTTTCCCTGTCCATCTCAGATTGCACACAATCTGAGCGCGCGTAGTGCGAGCACGCGCCATGTCTCATTGGGAGTTTGAGTCCAAAATCCTGTCCGCCCAAAGACAGACACGATTAGAATGACTATCTATGGACCTATCGACCGATCAAAGGTTACAAGTTCAGCAACCTCTTGGGAACGTCATCGTGTTCTTTTCTTTTTTGGGGGGGCTGTTAAACTCAAAAAGCTTTCACCGCCAACACCCTGGCAAGTGAGCCATCTGTATACCCCTCCAACACTCTGAGCACAGGTTTTAGGAGAGCTGTGGATGAATTGTTTCGCTCGCACAGGGAGGCCATGGAGCCCCGACCGTCAGACTGGAGATCAGACTGGTCCGGGAGTCTTCCCTCTGAAGGTGTTGGGTCAGAAACTTCTCCTATGGAGGCAAGGGTTCATAGGGTCAAAGATCTTGCGCTGCCAATTGGTCTGAGGTGAACACCTCAGCTGCCTCTGTGGACAAACAAATGAACACTTGCAGGACCGAAAGGTATGATCATCGGTCTGTGTGTACCAAAGCATGGAGCTTGCACCTAATCCCACATGATTGAATTGTTCTTTCCATTTTCAGCGCGACTACTGGAAGTAAAAGGGGGATAATGACAGCCCAACAAATTCTCGCCGTAGTCCATCGGTACTGCGCTCAGGGTTTAAGCTTGAGCAGTTGAGTAAGAAATTCATTCTATATAAACCCCGAAGGACTATGGGTCGAAGAGTATGCCTTTTCTGAGAAATACTTGTCAACCATCCCGTCGGTCTTTTTCGTAACGAGGTTCTGTACCAGTTCGAAGAACACGCCGGGCCGGAGTGGATGTGCGAAGCGATCACAAAGAAAAAGCGACAACTGGGCCAAGACCGTCGCATAGCAGGTGAACATGCCTGGGGCAGTCGCATCGAGATCGCGCGACTTGTCGCATGGGAGGTGAACTGGGTTTGAAGTCCACTTCTACTAGAACGTCCTGAAAAATTACATCAAGACTGAACCCCTTCGTTGCGAGGAGAAGGGGTAGAGAGGGTAAACCGTCGAAAAGCCCTGGAACATAGCCCTAACCAAAAACTCGCATTCTGTCATCTTCTCGAACATGCGTGCCATGGTCCGTTAAGCGTGTATATTGAGTAAAATGTGGACTCTTGATTAACAACCGTAATACCCCCCGATTTGGCCTCTTCATGTGGGTGGTTTATGAATCCTACAGTGACCAATCTTAAAATCACCCCCAATGTACACTCCGACTCACTAACATGAAGGTGCAAAATCCATCAAAATCCTCCATTCGTAAAGGAAAGTTGTCTTCCTTTCGGGACCATCCACTTCCATGTCATGTGTTCGTCAGGGTCTAAGCAAATCTTCCATACTACGCGTTCTTAGATCTTCTTAGCACATGCCGGAGCCAAGGCTCCCCATGTAGCGGGGAGTCTTGGCGGGACGATCCTCGAACGACGGAGTCCGACGGAGGCGAAGGAACGGCCACGAGCCCCCGGTGAACCAAATGACCACAATCACTGGGCCCACGACGATCAGACTTTCCACAACATGCTCCTTGCTAGTAGTAATGCCAGGAGCGCCCCGTTCGTAGCGTCCGATCGCTCCGTTCTAAACGCGGTGCCCTTTGTTACTAGTAGCTTCTTGCCATGAGTTTGTTCAAACCAAATGGGGGGTTATTCATCGTATTCATCAAGAGTCTACGTTGGCCCAAATATAACTTCCATTTGGCCAAGTTTGGGCGCATATTCTGGATCATGGGGTTTGAAGACCGTTGCCAGCATGCCAAACATGATGGCAGTTTGACCTGCGAGTGTTGCGTTATAGTTGTACGATTTGTGTGGGAATGCCGCATGCCAAAGCGGTATTGAACTCTGCAAACATCCCGCGGATGTCCTGAAACATATGAGTTATAATTAAGGAAATGGCTTGCTTGCGGCTAGATAGCTAGACTTGAACCCAATCACTTTCCCCCGTGGTTCTGCGGACAGGACTTCCGACTCTGCCTTGACTTTACTCACCCAAGCTGCCCAGTAGAGCACAAAAGAAGTAGGACAAGATGATATTTGCCGGAGCACCAGCCTGGCTTCAAAAACTTTCAGAACTGCTTCGCACCCGACTGCAATCTGAGTGACTCGGCACAGGGGGCCGGTAAATCTGTGGCCCCAGTTGACCCAGTTGAACAGGGTGTCCTAAACTGGGTCAAGTGGATCAACTGGGACCATTGGCTCGGGTGGAGCCAGTGCCTCAACTGCATGGGTCAACTGGACCTCTGACAGGTTGAGAACTCCCCAGATCTAAACAGCTGAAAACGACTTCATATCGCAAGAATAGATTTGCCGATGAGAAGGCAAGAGAAGGACTTTCGGCCTAGACATGTGTGCAAATCATAACCAAAGCATCTTAACTGGGAGCTATATCTTTGGATGATGTTGAATCATTTCTGTCACGGGTCTCCTCTTGAGGTCTAGTCAGTTCTCGACTCGTTTGAGCAGAGGGTCCCAACCAAGCTCAACACGGGACCCCTGGTGTTGAGCTTGGTTTTTACAGTAATGGCTTTACCATTCAGATTGCCATTTTTTATACCTAGCACTAGTAGGGATCCATCTTTGATAGTCCCCTCATAATTCTTGTGCATTTAACAATCTAATTCGCGTGAATGTGTATTTGTCTTGAAAAGCAAAACATTGAAGTGGGAAGTAGGTAGTAGTCGTCGTCGTCGTCCTAGTAGTAGTAGCAGAGCAGTAGCAATAGCAGTAGTAGTAGTACTAGTCGTCTTCGTCATCGTCGTCGTCGTCGTTGTCGTCGTGGTAGTAGTGGCAGTATAGTAGCCGCAGCAGCAGCAGTAGTGGTAGCTTGTTGTGGTCAACTGGGTCAACTGGGTCCGCAGATTTAGCGTGGCCCCCTGTGCGGTCGCAATGTACAATCTCTTTACAAGCAAGTGCTGGAGAGCTGACTCGCCAATACCCTGCACGTCACAAATATACATCAAAGTGATACATCTCTCTCTATATATATATACAGTATTATAGGGCAAGCATATTGCTAGGGTTCCAACTCTCTGACTGGAACAAATCTATAAGTTGGAGTAGTAGTGTGGCGGAGGAACAGTTTAGAATTGACAAAGGCTGCACCGTGTTGCACAAGTAGTGGGACCACTAGGCCACACGCTCGCTTTTGAGCTGGAGGACCAGGCCAATGCACATAGGTCACAAGGGGATTGTCCAAAACCCAACCACTCCACGTATGGTGAACACCTGCTGAGCCTTTTGCGATGCAGGATTTCAAACGACTCAATCTCAACCAAGAGCTATCACACTCTTAAACTCCTGAATGCTGCAGCTTTTTGGACAACTCCCGAAGTTGCCGACATCACGTTGAATCCAGTCATGCAATGTACCAACTGCATCTCGGCATGCTTGGACAAAGGGAACGCCGTTCCATAGATAGCCGCGCTGGTAGATCGTAGAATTCTTATAGAACATACAAGAACCCCCTGCGTCCAATCGCCCAACCGAACTGCGCAAACAGATGGAAAAAGTACAGTATGTCATTCCCCAAGCCATGAAACCAGAAGAATTTGAAAAATCGTGACACCCACAAGTGAAAAAGGTTCAAAGGCTCGTGCGTCCTTTTGAGCCTGCATCTTGAGCCACAGGCGGTCGGGTCATGCCTGTGAGTAAGTCGAACCTGCTGGACGGATTGATGGACCAACTGCATGAGATGTGGTTGCATGTGGGTCAACATGTTCCATTTCACACCCATATTCTTTCTTGGTCCGCAATCCATCCAAGCTGGGTGACATGTCGACTTCAAAGCCGTCCATCAGCCTCTTTAGGCCATCATGCTTCATTCCCTTGGTCAAGGGATCTGCGGGCATCTTGTCGGTCGAGGTCCAGGTGAGCTTGGTAGTTCCGGCCTCTGGAAGCCGGTCAGTGGCCAATGGGTCTCCAACTTCCTCTTCCGGAAGTCTCCAAAGGCTTTGGCGCAAGCCGCACATGTCGATGGCCAATCTCTTGTCGCTGACAATGTGGAGGCCAGCCTGGTTTCCATGGTCGTGGAGCGACCTGCAGTCCGTCACCCACTCCACCAGCACTGAGTCCATTGCACGAACTTGCCATCGAGGGACGGAGCAATGAGGGTGTAGAAGACCATATAGCACGAACCTCAAATGGTCGGCCTCTTCGCTCCCTGCCAGGAGGCTCAAGGCTTCAGCTTGCAGTGTCGACCTGCAAACCCTCTTCAGCACCGTTGAGTGCCACTCGATCAGCGCCGGCTGTCCTTTCTTGGACTTGTGGAAGTCGGGGCTCGCGAGGCAAAGGAGTCGGCCGCTTTGGCTCCTGTGTCCCATCTTTGCTCCTGACGAGCTAGCTTCAAAGTCAGCTGCATGACTGGCATCTTGTTCGCAAGAAAGCTGTCGGAGGCTGAAGGCTCACGTCGACGGAAAATTCCATCCAAACGATCAGGGCTTTGTCGCAGGGACCGTGTCAAAGGCGTCACCTGCTCGTTGATGATGTTGGAAGATGCTGCACCTGATGTCGGATGAGTAGAGATGCTTGGTGCCGGAGTAATCTCTGCTTCCGGTTGACTGCTCATTGTTGAAACCCTAGTCATTGTTTCAACTGGTGTCTCAACACCATCTTCCATAGAAGTTGCCATCTCGAGTCCAGGTGGACTCTGGAGAGGTACTTGGTGAGGTTGTTCAACATGTTGAGGCAACGATGGAAACGTTGATGAAGTAGTTCCTTCATCCATTTCAGCATCTCCCGGGGTAGCAGTCACTCCCGTCTCGCCTTGTCCTGCATTCACCTCTTGGAAGTCCACGAATGGGACTTGCTCGTGCGATCCTCCTGGCCCTCCGCGGAAGAAGTTGATGTCCTCGATGTAGTCGTCCGCAAAAGGTAGTTCATCATCTTCTTGCCAGTCGGTGAGGATCTGTCTCTTCCTTTTCCTCTCAGGCCGCAGTTCAAGAGCATGTCGCTTCAAGACTTCTGCTGTAGTTGCCGGCCTGCATGAGGTCTCTGCCACCAAAATGGCGACACCTGAGTGCAACAGCCAGAGTGAGGATTTTCCTTCATGAGCGAGAACTCTGGCAGGTCCATACCATTTGCCTTTCTTGCTGAAAGAAACCAAATCTCCACAGCGGTATGGGCCCCTCATCGGAATGCTCTTCCGGAGCATGGCTTTGCGCACTCGTTGAGAGGTGTCAAGCTTGATGAAAGCTTCCTTTGCCCATTGACGAATCAGCAGTTGCTTTGCAAAGGAATCTTGCGCTCCCTCTTCGGCATCCAGCAAGCTCTGGTGTAGGCCAAGACTCTGCTCCAAGTCGTTGTTGTTCAGGGAAGTGATGTCCTGAGGTTGATAGCCCATCACCCATTGAGACGGTGAGTAGCCGTGCTGGTTGATGAAGAGATTTTTTTCACTCTTGCCGATTCTGAGCACAGAGCTGCAATGTCTTCAGCTCTTTTGATTTGCCTTTCATGGATGGCACGTTTCATGATTTCCTTGAGCAAGCCTCCATGACGTCCCCCAACTCCAAGTTGATGAGGTGCTCGAGCTCCAGTCTGCCGGATGGTAGTGCCCATCACGGTAAGGAGATGTGCCACTTTTCCTCTGTTGTGGACTCCTTGATCTGCCACAAAGAAGGTGGGCGCTCCAGCCCAAGCAATCCAGGAGACGTTCAAGGCATCAGCGCATGCCTTCGAGCTGGGTGTTCCTCCTCCTGCAACCCGAACTGCCACATGGAAATGCGTGGCCAATCAACCAATGACAGGATGGAGTGGCGGTGATGCTCACTATCGTGAATCTCAAAGACATCCGCCGAAAGCTCATAGTTGAAGTGCATCTGCGAAGATGGCCTTGTCTCTTTGTCACACGCGGATGCTGGTCCTTCTCCGTCTCCTTGCACACCTGACATTGAAAGAACTTCACTGCATCGATGACATCCTTGTCTGCTGTAGATGCCACCAACATTCTCATCAAAGCAGCATTTGAGCAGTGACCAGTCATGGTGTGAAGACGTCGAACAGCCAGCCGCTTTTCTCTGGGAAGGCTAAGCCAGCCTCGCCGCCTCTTCTCTTCTTGTTCCATCACCAGGCGGTCCTCTTTGGTCTCATGCGCTGATTGCTCCAAAAGCATTTCCTCACGTTGAAGTTCAGGTTCATCGATTCGGCGCTTCTTGACCAAAGGTGCCAGGTCTTGTTCTGAATGAATGCCGTCCATGCCGCCCATTTCTTCATGCCTTTCAAAGACCTCCTCGACAGGAAAGGCTTGATGGAGTGTTCCATAGAGCAACTCTTCATAGGCGCCGGACAAAATGGCATGACAAAGCTCTTCTGGCCATTGTTGTGCAAGGCGTGTGCGATTGCTGCCTTCCAACTGCTGATGCTCGTGAGATCCGTCGCATTGTTTGTTGAGCCTCTTCTTCATGAAGTGCGATGAAAGCATCAGCCCAGTGCTCTTCTTGTGAGGTAATCCATTCTGAACATCGCGAAGTCCATACTGACATTGATCTATCCTCACTACCTCAACTGGCTCGTTGGTCTCCTCATGGAAAGGGTTCGAAGCCAGAAAGTCTTCGAGACATTTGATGCCCCAAGCCGCACTGGTCCAGGGATGTTCCATCATCACGTGCCGCCCTTTTCTCAAGCGAGACTTGAAGATGTCGATGAGCCACCTGAACACTGGATACCATCTCTGTCGCTCCTCCATCACATAGTTCTCGAGCTCCTGGCCCAGCGATCAGGATGAAGGGATCCATGTAGCCGATGTAGTCGCCAATCACCTGACGATTGGAGGGCTTCAGCAGATCATGACCAGGGTCATAGCAGACATCAATGGGTCGTCCAACAGGAAGGCCCCAAGCTGCAGCCATGGTTGTCAGAATGGCCGCTCCAGCAAACAGCTCCATCAGGAAACATCGACATCCAGATGGTAGGAGTCGTCCCGGTCGTCGTAGACCTTGATGATGACGAAGCGTGCCCCATAGTGCAAGGTCTTCCTTGTGCACAGCTTCCGTGGATTCTGTCATCATCTTCCGTTGTCCTCGAGTCATGACTTTGCGAGGAGACTCAGCCAGGTTGACATAGCTCAGCGTGTCCTCCTCCTCAATCGCTGACTTGTCGAGTCGGCTCTCCTGGCTTGAGGTGTCCATCGAAGTGCTCTTCTGAGATGAAGTGCAGTTGGACGTCATAGGGCTCGACAATGATGATGTGCTGCTAGGCGAAGTAGCGTCAGTAGCGTTTGAGCTCATGTCCACACTGTCTTCTTCTTGTGCTGAGGAAATCTCTGCCTGGAGTGCAATGTCCCTCTCATCTTCAGTGGAGGGAATGAGACGAATCGCAGGAAGGCCATCACGGTCAACCAACTCCAGGTACTGGTTCATGCGCTTGCTGTAGACGGTGTGCTCCTCGGTGTCAATCACCAAGCCAAGTGCCTTCTGAGCTCGTGTGCTGAGCAAAAGAGGTGCTTCACTTCCAGAAAGCTCAGTGGATGTGATGGTGCCAGAAGCAATGTCTCCGTTCTTGAGTGCAAAGAGAACTGGAATGCGACGGAGTCCAACCACTTGCACATTGCCTCCAACTCCACGGGCTCGACCTTCATGAGGCAACAGCTCAAAGTGCCGTCCAGTCAGTCGCATGTAGTCCTTGATCCATCCAGCACCGTGGCATGTGCTATTGCATCCAGTGTCAAGGATGCAGAGGAGCTTGTCTTCGAACTTTGGAACACCTTTGCCTTCTGTCCCGCTCATGAGGTTCTCAGCCTCCTGGAACCGATGCCATCGAAGGCATTCGAGCGCCGCCATCACGCCCCGACGCAAAGGCAAGTCAGGTGCCCCCAAAAAGGAAAGACAGTGGGTCTACCAAATCGGGCTCCCTGGGGAGTACGGGCTCCGGTGCCAATTTGAAAAATCGTGACACCCACAAGTGAAAAAGGTTCAAAGGCTCGCGCGTCCTTTTGAGCCTGCATCTTGAGCCACAGGCGGTCGGGTCATGCCTGTGAGTAAGTCGAACCTGCTGGACGGATTGATGGACCAACTGCATGAGATGTGGTTGCATGTGGGTCAAAATGTTCCATTTCACAAGAACACATGGATTGCAACTCAAAGGGCCTTAATATACACATTATCAAAGAAGATGCAACATCCACTCCAATTTGGGTTAGCTAGCTGCTGACCCACACCCACCAAACAAAAGAGCCAACCAGCCGTGTGCGCCTTGACCAGGCTTACGAAGGAGGCCAAGGCATAGCTAATGAGCGGAGTGGCCAGGATGAGGCTATAAACGAAGGGCACTCGCTCGAAATGCCGCGCCTCCAACCTGGCAGCGCACGATTGCTTTTGCGTGGCCAGCTATGAAGGGGAGACGAACCTGAGCTAATACGAGCTAACAAGCTGCTCAGTCGGGCCGCTGCAAGCAGCCAGGTGGTGTTGTGTTCAGGTTTGGTCGCCTGACGTCTGTATTCCTGGCCCAGGTTGTAACGAGATTGGAGACTCCTATAACCAGGCCACTCCTTTTGATGATCTTGGAGGGCTAGGGCTCCAGCAGTGACACGAGTAGATTCCACGAGTCCAGGTTCCAATTACCCTGCCAATCCAGTGGACCTGTGTTGCGCACCAGGTCAGCTCTGTGGCACAGTTGTTTCAGCCAAACGTTGGCCCACCAACGTTGGATCCTCCTGGTGCCCAACAAAAAAAATCTGCAGAACCAAGTGAGGTTCTTCTGACCCAACACATGGTACCACCGAAAGAACCGACCGGTGATCCACCACAAACTCCCTGTGGATGACTCGGGGGGGTTCTTGGGCCACTCGCCTGGGTGAACGAGTGTTCCGAGATGAAGGATGAGATCATCCAATGAGTGCATGGGCAGCATTGAGGTGCATGGGCGGCATTGAGGTGAGGTTGGACTACAATGGGCCTTCGAAAGGGACAAACAGAGGCATTTGAAGATGAGGCTCATTCGGTTGAGGGGATGGGTGGTGAACTCATGGGATGATGAGAAGCCGCCTTGCACAGCAGTGGAGATGAGGATCCCTTTGATGGGGTCATGGCTGCTCTATGAGCATGACACCATGAGGTGTATTGTATTGGCAATGGGGGCGATGTGTCCTGAATGAGATCTTGCATCATGACAACATATGTGCCATGCTTCAAGAATGTGACGAGGGTTGAGATGGGATGGATGAGTTCTTGACTTTTGCTTTCTTTGGTAGGGGGTATGTGGTTTTCTTTGGGGGGTCAGCCTCCCTGTACATGTGCATGAGGCGGCCCCTATGAAGCAAATGTCAATCAAAGATCATTCATCCATGACAGCAAAGCATGAGGCCAAAGCATGCCATGAGCACACAGCATGGATTTGAATCACTGAGGGTTCAGGTATTGGCTTCTCCATGAGCTGTATGAGCTCTATGAGCTTGGGGCTATTGAGAAGTGGAGCCCAGCCATGAGCAGGATCATGAGTGAGTGGCCTCAGCGAGATGCCAGCAGCATCCTGCAACGTTGCAAGAACATGAGGCCATGAGGCCATGGAAGAATGAGCCACTGATGGCCAGCTCAAAACGAGCATGAGGTATATAATTGTCCACCAGAATGCTGGTAACAAGCAGGGGCTCGGGGTGGTTGGGAGGGCCATGAGGGTTTTGCAGGGTCCATGGGCTGGTGGGACTGACGGGGGCTTGGAGGGTTGGATGGAAACCATGTGGCATGAGGGTTGAAGCAGGGTTGATGGGAACCATAAGGTTTCATCCAATATTCACTGAGGTATTCCTCGATGAGATCTTTGATGCAGCTGCTCCATTGGAACATGAGCATGAGGAGCTTCTCGTTGCGGGGGGAAGTGGGGTTCATGGGGGCTGGGTGGATGGCCATCAGGATTAAAAACCATGAGGTTTCGTTGGGTTTTGTTGTTCATGGCATGAGTTATTTATGTGATTTCACCATCAGGGTTTGAATGGGAAACCATGGGGGCCATGGTCCAACAACATGGAGTTGCAAGAGATCAGGCTCGATCATTAGCTCAAATTGCAAGAGTGGCATTGCAGGCATGGGCATGGTGATGGCATACTATGGGAAAGTGTTCATGAGGCAGCTTGATGAGAAGGTTCAGCTGCTGGATGAGAAGCTCAAGGCCATCTCCGAGAGAGCATCAGACCTATCCCACTCAGCCAGTAACATTGAGAGGAGGATGGATGAGGGAAGTGGCCAAGCGCGAGATAGGTTGAGGCATTCGCTTCCAAGGCTGGTTGATTTGAGGGGATGGGTTTTGAGGAGGCGGGGCGATGAGCCTTGTCCCATGCACATGACGAAAGCCAAAATGAGGGATTGGCTACTCATTGAGTATGACGCCACAAGGGCTGGGTCCCATCAGGGTCATGAGATCATGTGGGTTGGCATTTGCACATTGGCATACATCAGTGTATTTGAGATGATGGTGGACAGTGAGGTTGAGAGGCATGAGCTCTTTTCCCGGAATGATGAGGGGAGAACAAAATTGAAGTGATGAGTGAGATCAATGCCAAAATCAATGCTGCTATGCAATGCAATGTGGCCACATGTTATGGCCAAACCTATCTCCAAAGACCATCACACCCAAGGAAACATCCGACGCCAACAGTGGGAGTTGAACCTCCGGAGGGGAGGGGTCCATATCATTGAATAGTTTAACCTTTTGAAGTTTTTGAGGCTCCCGTCCACCCCCTCAATTCCTTTCAACAGCTTGCGAGCGACTCCAGCTAGCTAAGGCTAGCTTTCGTGACGACGGGACTAATGGGCTACTATTGGGACTGGACGATTTACATTGGGAATGGTTTCAGGTTTCATGTATATATAGATAGACTCTGCCAGTCACATTTCGTCGTCTCTGAGCAAAAGCTCCGGTTGACAGCCGAAACAGCTCGCTTCCTGCTTCGCTGCCCGTCCACCCCGCGGCCGGAGACCGTGCGCGCGCGGTCGCTGCCAGTCCAAGGCACTCGCGGCGCAAGGGTCCCCGGACATACTCCGTGAAGGCCTCCGGTCCTCCGTACCACTCCTCGGGGGGTGCACCGCAGACCGCAGACCGCAGACCGGCTGTCTGGATCAGTGAAGGAGACGATGGGAGGAACGTTCGATCCATCACCCAGACACTCCATGTATGGTATACATATACGTATAAACTACTGTAATAACAATAATGAAAGTAAACATATAAAAAAAACATTTTAAAAACATATATGTATATATTTATATATATATTATATATATACAGTTATATTATGGTAAAGCAATATATATGATGATATCACTCACAGTAAAATTATTGTATGATGATATAACATTATATATATGATATAGTATATATAGAGTATTATATGCATATTCAGCCCTGAAACGACCTCAACTGATCGGTCTTTTGGCCAGTCCCATGAAAGTCCGTGGGTGTGGTTCAACCTCCACCTGCTCATAGGGTGCGCTGGGGGTGCTTCACGCTTAATCAGAACAACCAAAGAACGGCTTGGCGGTTTTAACTCACTTGAAAAATGTTAGTCAGCGGCTTCAAGCATTTTTGCAAGTAAAGTTTAAAGGTTGAAACTATGAATGTCTGAAAGTCTGAAGCCAGCACCCAGACCAAGAAGCGACAAATCTCCATGGGCATCCAAACCAACCCCCCGCACTGCTCGGCCTTGTTTGGACCCTTCGCTCTTCTTTGCTCGGACCACCGAACAAGCGGCATCCGCAATGCAAAAGGAAATCATCCAATCCCAAACCAATCCATGTATTCATGTATGAACATATTATGTATAGTAGTCTTATAGTTTAATTATATATTAATTACACCTCTTCCCCATATATACGACATCATACGACCCATCCATGTACTAGAGCGCAAAACTCTCGTTTCTCCTCGCCCTTAGACCAACCGCGCGTTGGGCGAAACCGTCTTCCTTGGCTCTTTACTAGAGAGCCTTTGGGTCGTGGCTCAGTAATGGCCGCATGAACGAACTTCTTGTCAAAGTCCACGCGGCACTCCACGGCCTCCGCGGAACGGCCACTGGACGACGTCCGGCGTCACCCGGCCGGCTTGCATGGCCGGCCCCAAGGGTCGGTGGACTGGAAAGGATCTCAAATCATGACATGAACCTGAGCCATACCCACACTTTGGAACACTGTGCGGGGTATACCATGTGGGGTCAAACACCATCTCTCACGAAAAATGGGTGGCCACGAAGGTGGCCCTGGAATCCTTCATGGATTTGGTCCGTGATCCTGCATTTTCCGGAACAGCGTTTTGTGGATCCAAATGCCACAGCTAAAAAAGAAACACTGTCTCCGCAGTGTACCCTAGAAATCCCTGTTTTCTTTTAATATCTCATTGATTTGGATGAAATGTCCTATATGAGCATAATTATTGGATAAACATCGAGTTTGGACGAATATGGTTGCATTTGAGAGGTAAATGACTGCATGGACAACAAACGAATGAGCCCCAAAGTTTAACTTCTTAACGATGGTATTGACACATATCAATCAAACAATTATATAATGATAAATCACATGTGATAAATCCAATTAAAAGGCTGCTAGTTTCCTATAAACGTGGCAACTTGTGAAGTCCACATTTGGCCGTATCTGTCTGTTACATGGAAGCAGCCGCACGGAATTTGTCTTCAGTGGATGCGTTTGGTCCCCCAAAACTATTAATTTGTCAATTTGGGTTTCCTGATGTTTTTCCTGATATATACTGATATATGAATACCAATTCTTGTTGAGATGTTTATTGGGATGATCTTCCAACACCTCGCTGACCGGCAGCGATCATCTTCACTGCTTGCTGGTTTGAACTTACTCGAAGGATCTGAGTGGGATCTCTGAGTGAAGCCCAGCCAGTTCATGATTCAGCTTGGATAAGTGCGTGCTATTCCAGGAATGTCTGAGGAACTCCAACCAGGACAATCTGAAGATCTTTCTGCTTCTCGATTGCGCCTCATGCCATGTCCTCATGCCACAAACGTCATCATTTGGGTTCAACCTCGACTGGATGGGTGCTTGCTGAGGACTTGTTGTTCGTGGTTCGTTGTCGCGTCGCCCACGGACCGGCCCTGGGCCCGCCTGGAGGTCGAAGGTGCGGAGATCGGCGATGAGCTGCCTGAGCTGCCAGGGCTGGGGCAAATGGGGACCCATTTGGAAAGCGTATGTATGTGTGTATATTTATAATATATATATAATTGTATATATATATATATTATGTATGTATGTATGTATGTATGTATGTATGTATGTATGTATGTATGTATGTATGTATGTATGTATATGTGGCTATTTATGCATATATACATATATATCTGTGTGTGTGTTCGTATGTGTTCAATTGTTTGTTTGAATAACAGTTACAGTATGTAAATACAAGTTTGTATGTACGGTACTCTACTGTATCATGTTGTTCCAGTGAGTTCATGGGAAACATCAGCCAATCAAGGGTAACAGCATGAACAAACTGGAAGAACAATAAACTCGAGGAAAGAGTTGTTCATGGGAAAGCAACGCTTGAAGTGGTTCATGGGAACAAAGGTGATTCTGTAAGGATCCGGGCCCTCCAAAACAAGGGTTTTGAATGGTTTTGAGATGTTTTGAGGGTACAACCCCATGAAGCCACACCACTCGGCCATGAAAACCAAGCATTTTCGAACACCCGCTGATCGTTCTAACACATGTTTCTCTGAGGTAGAATAGGCATGTGCGTTCTACACAGCAGGGGTCAAATCACTTCCCTCTTCAGCACAATTTCGGCCGCTGGTGTAGGATTTGTTCAAGAACAGCTTGGCTGAGAGTTGAAACAGTTCTGCAGGATTTTTTTACATTTCTATATGTATATTTGTGTACATCACATACTATCTGCAGTGGCAAATAAATAACTGCCCGTCTAGAAAAATTAAGAAATCTGCCATAATCTGCCGATATGAATCAAAGCTTTCACTGTCTGCATGTTTAAACCTCTTGTTGTATGCGTGTGCAACGCGTATTTGTAAACTTTTGCAAATAACTGCACTTTAGGCGACAACATGTTGTTCCTTGAAAAGATGCTCTTGAGCAATGGTATGCCTGAAACTGTCAGTCTGTTTCGTCTTATCCATGTTTCACCTGTTCCTTCTATATAAAGTAAAATCGGGAACATACTGAAACTAGATCCAAGAACAAACAGTTGCAGGCTGGATGTGATGTCATACTGCAACGCCGCCCATCCCGAAACAGGTCCACCCATCCCTTTTGGACCCGTTCGATCCCTGGACGGTCAGGTGCCAGTTCTGCGGTGTCGGGACGGTCAGGTGCCCGTTTCCAACTCACCAAGATGCGGCGTGTTGAACTAGTTTTTAGGTCCATGGATAGGCAGGCATGCCGGTCATGACTGAACACTGTTGATCTTTGGTGGGTAGCTAGTGCACTGCTAGTGCGTCCTTGTTCTGCTTGCTGCTATGTCCTTGGGGTCAAAACACCCGTCTTGTTGATGCCTCAAGCACTCTGAGTAGATGGCCTTCGGGGTGGCGCGTTCCAACAAATGCGCATATCTCGTTCGGGTGCCCCGAGTATCAATGCTTTGCCGCAGGTGGGCCCCATAGTCGAAGCTGTTCGTCCTAAGGTTCCTCTTTTTCGTTTGGGAGGAGCTTGCAAAGGTGATGCACTCACGGGATGGGCGGCCTGTGGAACGGATTGGAGAACACAGAATGCATCATGAGTTGGGGAAAACCGCCCAACATGCGCAAGTGGGACTGTTGTGAAAGAAGCAAATGCCCCTCAAGCCAACACCGGAGGAGGGACGCTCACTCACCTGCCGAGGTGCTGCTTCTGCTGACAAGCCTTTCCTGAGAGAAGTTTTCTGAAATGCATTTGCTTGGTCTCATTCAGCTTCCCGGGTTAGCGATTTACACCGGTCCACAAGACCTTTGGTCAACTGGGATCACCACTCACAAATATACGTATGTTAAAAAAACGACATCTAGATTATAGGTTCATAATGTTCCAAGCAAAATCCTGCTGAGTTGAGTTGAGTTGTTCTTCTCCGTTTCTCAGTGCAAGTCAGCAAATTCGATCTACTCAAGCGTTCTCGGTACTCAGCCTGAGGGGTCGGCTGACCAACGATGTTTCCATGGGCAGGGGTCCAAACATGTCAAACCTTGGTGAGGAACTTGGAATACCTTACGTGCTAGTGTCGGGTTGACGAGGAGTAGTAGTTCTTGCTGCAGGAGGAGGAGGAGGAGTAGCTGCAGTATAGCAATGCTAGTCGGGACACGGAAGACATGTTTCATGTGTCTTATGCACTAATTACAGTATTCCAATGCAAAGGATGCAACAGAATAAGAAAGACATGGAGAAAGCAAAACGCCACTGGTCTCCCAATCCAGATGGGTTGGAACAGGCCGGTGGAAGCGAACGAATCATGGAAGCGAACAAGTAACTGGCGAACGGCAACGGTACTGGGTGGGACACCTCTGCCAAGTGACTCAGCATGTGAAAACCAACCAGGAAGGGCACCAGGATGAGGAACACTACCAGAATGTTCACAGATCCTGCAGTGCGTCAGGGGAACCAGCACGGAAGAGTGCCCAGGCAGGATGTTCTTCGTGATGTGTATTTTCAAAATAATCATATCGATTCGATTGCATTTTTTAAGTTTTAATTTTACGAATTGTACAACAATAATTGTTGCTGCTTCGCTCACTGTCCCTTGCCTCCGGTCATTGCAGTCATCCACAGCTCTTATTTTCCAACTTGAAGCCACTGCTGGTTAGAGATCCGATGGACTTAGGCAAAGGTGCAGATGGAAAACGACTATGTTCAGACAGCACAACAGTTGCCAATCACCCGGGTGGGCCGGGATGGGGCACAAGTTACGCCCCCATGGCGCCACCTAAGAAACAAACAAAAGAAACTGGCAGCTGAATCTTGGGACCAAAAGGCTGGACGTGTTGCAGCTGCGCGTGCCAGTGTCCTTTGCAAATGATTCCTCAGGATTGAAACACTTGCTTGGCACGCACCATCAACAATTTCGGTTTCATTGTTGCTGCTTCGCTCACTGTCCCTTGCCTCCGGTCATTGCAGTCATCCACAGCTCTTATTTTCCAACTTGAGGCCACTGCTGGTTAGAGATCCGATGGACTTAGGCAAAGGTGCAGATGGAAAACGACTATGTTCAGACAGCACAACAGTTGCCAATCACCCACTCCCCCGCACTGGCAGCGAATCTCAGTTCGTGGCCGTGTTTGCCATGGCCAAACAAAATTTGCAAGGTGGCACTCTCAGATGTGCCTCAGGAAGATGACATCTGCAAAAGACAGAAAGACGAGAGGGCACAGCTCGCCGCCAATCCCTCTCACGGAACAGCTCCAAACTCTGCCCAAAAAGTTTGTCAACGACAGGCATCCATCAGGACTGGAGACCCGCTTGCGCTGAGCCCGGTTCCGTGAAAGAAGGCGTCAGTGGCCAGCTGGAAGGAAAACAAAACTAATTACGTAGTGCTACCATTGCTGTCAGGCACCAGGCTCTCTTCTTTTGGTTTTCTTGGCTGCACAGCGCCCCCGTGATGGAGCATCGGCAGGGTTTGCCTCGGATGGAATGTACACCAAGCGAGGAAGAAGGTCACAAGCCAAAGTCAAGGCTGCCGTGCTTCTCAGCACTCTTCGCAAGGCCCTGGCTGAACTTCTGCCCTTGCTTATGCACCCAATTGCCACCTTAGCATCCACCAAGACCACCGCTCGATGATGGTGACGCTTCGCACTTCTGCTCACCCACTTCAAAGCAAGCAGGACACCGTGGCATTCAAGCAAGCCAGAATGCGCTTGCCGCTTGGCCCTGCAAGAAATGAGTGTCCTGAAGTTGTCCTTGCTAAGAGGTAGGCGACGCTCTTTTGCAGTGCGTGGTACTTCAGGTACATCATGGTCAGGAAGCAACCGGACATAGTCACCACGACGTTCTGCAAGGCGCCCAACTCTCTGCACCATGTGAGCTCCGCAACGCGCAGTGCTCACACCAAAGCCAAATTCAGGGGCAGCATCGCAAGCAAGCAACTCGTCCAAGAAAGGCCTGTCAATACCAGCTGGAAATAGCGGTGAAAGCGCAAGAATTGTCAGGAGCTCTGATTCGACGCTGCTGGGAAGCTTGTGAGTCAAATTTGGCTCTGCCCTTCTCACAAAAGCATATACTTCGTCGAACACGCTGAACATGCCCCGCTGCATGAGACAAAACCACTGCAGCACACCTAAAATGGAGTTTAGAGCGCGGGGGCTAGCGCGCCCTAGCCAGAGCAGATCACACAGAGCTAGGACGATGTTGCCTAGCTTGCTTCTTGCTGGCTGCACCAATGGGGGGGGAGCTGCTCAGGTCACAGCCCAGCCCTGTCATGGTAGAAACCAAACTGACATCTTTAGATGCATTTTTCCTGATTCCATGCTGCTGAAAAAAGGAATCTATTCGTTGGAGCGTACGTTTTCCACGGGCTCGGCTCTTGTGGAAAAACAGCAAGTCATCCATGCAAACAGCACACACAGTTCGTCCTGTTGCTGGGGCATCTCGTGGTCTAAACTCAAGATCTGCGATTCACTGACCCCAGCTTTGACCACGCAACCAACTGAACTAGCTTGCGCTACGCATGGCGACCAACTGAAGCCCATAGGCCAAACCACATTGACGGGAAAAAGAAGAGAGTCTGGGGCAAGCCGGCAATTCTCCACGCCGTCTATGAAAGCTGTCACTTTTGCACGGCTGAACCCGAGGCTGGTGAGCTCCTGCACGGTGATTGGCGCTTGGCCAAACCATGGCTGCAAAGGACCTGGAACCTGCAGCGTGTCAAAATATGTGCTGGCATCTCTTTTTGACATGTACAGGTTCTCGCCAGGCTTCACCACCAGGTCAAGGAAAGAGCTTGGATTTGCCAATCTGTACGGCGGCGGGGGGTCAGCAGCTGCTGCCGACAGAAAGGCCCCATCCCAAATTTTCCTTTGCCTGTGCTCTGTTTGCTTTGGCGCAGCGAAAACTCGGGCTTGAGCCTGCACACTGGGACGAAGACGCAGCTTGCCGCACTGCAACTCCCGAGCTGTGTTGCCCGCGAAGGTCGTCTGCAAGTCGGCCATCATGACCGCTAGGAAACACCAGGGCAGGGTCAGCCACCAGCCGCCACAGATCAGGCGGCACCAGAGATGCTGGATTACAAGTGCCAGCCTTGTTTGGCAGGTCCACATCCTTTCCCCTCACAGCCTCGTAGCGGGATCTGTCTTGCGCTTCAAATTTGTGAAAGGACCCTTGCCACGGGAATGCGTTTCCCAAAACTGCATCCAAATTGGACAAGAAAAGTTGAGTCCGCTGAGCAAGATGCCGGTGCACCGATGCCTGGGCAGCATTGCACTGCCTCGCAGCGCGAAACCCGCATGGCAGCTGCTTAGGCATACCCTGCTCCAAGAAGTTGAGGGTGGCCACCAACAAGTTGGCACACAAAAGGTGCACCTCTCGCATTGCACTGCTGCACTTCAAAACACAAGGCCATGAGCAAAAGCGAGGCAAGGGGAAAATGTTCTTGCTGGGTGGCACAAACTGACCGGCACGCTCTGCGCGAACCATTTCCTGGAAAAAACCAGCCAAAGGCAAAGCTGACCTTTCCAGAAAGGCTTTCAAGAATCGGCCAACCTCCAAGCTAGCTGAGCAAGTTGGCTCAACTTCGTGCACGGGGCTTTGTGGCAATGTCTTCTGGACAGGAGCGCTGATCCCCGAAGTGCTTCCGGTAACAGCGGTCATCAGACATGTCCTTCCACACTCCAGGGGGCCAGCGCTCCGGTCACAGAAAATGCCAGCCGTTTGTGCTGGAGCTGTAGCCAAGCAAGTAAGGACATCACGCTTCAACCTGTGGAGTGCCATTCTACGCCTATTTCTCTGGCGCCTGGCTGGAGAACATTTATGGGCAGCTTGGCTGATGGAAGACCATTGTGCATTGGGAAGAAATTCCATCGTATCCTTTCCCTTTGGGCGGCAGAGGAATCTCCACAAAAAGCCCCCACCGCAGCGGGGAAGAAAAAGGCACAAGTTACGCCCCCATGGCGCCACCTAAGAAACAAACAAAAGAAACTGGCAGCTGAATCTTGGGACCAAAAGGCTGGACGTGTTGCAGCTGCGCGTGCCAGTGTCCTTTGCAAATGATTCCTCAGGATTGAAACACTTGCTTGGCACGCTCCATCAACAATTTCGGTTTCATAAGCCATCATGAATAGCAATGGCAATGGCAATGATCCGAGAATGATATGAATTTGTATAGTATCCTATAAGGCACGAGTTGGTTGCAGGTTTGTTTGTTCTATCACTTCTATTTTTCCATGCCCTAATGCTTCCATGGGGACTGGAATATTTATCGAATATCCAGCAAGACTCCTCTTCAACATGTTTCAACCACTGCAATGCTCATATCCCAAACACTCCAGGCACCTGCCATCTACGGGATCAAACACTCAGCATCTCTAGGCCCCGAGACGGGACAGTTCAGAACACCACGGCTCGGGCACGGCTCGGGAGGATCTCCTGTGAAAGCCCTCAGGGATGCCCACAAGGCGATTCCTGAGGAGGAGCCAAGCCACAGGACGATCACCATCACTTCGACCTCGAGCGAGGCTGGCGGAGCAAGAGCACATAGTGGAAGACGTCCGATGATTGGCTTGAATTGGGTCATGAAGCACCGCCCAAACACAAATCAAAATTCGTCTGTTGGATGGGACCTCCAACCTGATCAGCGTTGAAATCTGCCAAATTCAACAACTGTATGATTCCTGGTCAGTCTATGTTGCCCGTGATGCCTGCGTTTGCCCGTCTGGGTGCTCCTTTAAACGCCCCCTGGCTACAAAGTCGCTTTGCTTTTGGTTTATTTTCTGCGCACCATCTAGTTACATTCAATTCACAAAGTAGAGATAAGTAGAGGACAGTTGTTCACGCCCAAAAGTGTTGGATCAATTATTTGCAAAAATATCACCCAAATAAACAACGATGCGGAGCGTGCTAGCAAAGGGCAATTGCAATTCAAAACCAGCACCGAATGATGTCAACCAAGAAGTTGCGCATTGGACAAGGGACATCCCACAAAAGAAAAATAAACAAATGGATTTGATTCAGGTCTCTCAACCTTTCAACCTGCAAGTCACAAACAAAGGCTTCACGGTGATCTTTCCATGCGGGTTGGCCATCCGGTAGGCTGCCACTTCGAAGACCTCGTTCGCCGATATAACCGACGAGGTGACGCCGGTCCGACAGCCTCGCCGACAGGTCCCACCTTTCTAGACAGCCCTTTCATGCGGAAAAGGGTTGGTACATGTTCACTACCATCAAATGCCGCTCGGATGGGAGGACTATGGTGATGTTAGGAAGATGTTTTGGCGGCGTACGATTTATATGAGCATCAGTTCAATGTTGGGCACATCGTGAACCTGATCTGGTCCGGCCTGGTGTGTGGCTTGGCCAAGGGTGTGCACTGTGAGCCCAGCGGAGGTCGACCTGATTCTAGTAGTCGTGTTAGATTCAAAATCTTCTTGATGTGCTTATAAGCAACCGGACCCCCCCAAGAAAAATATTCCCCGGAAGGGGATTTACCATATAAGAAAACAAACTATATCACCTTAAGCCTTAAGCAAAACTAGGTCTTGGTGGTGCATACTATGTCATGTGTCTTCTGCTTGTGGACATGCCAAACAGTGCTTGGAATACTACGCGATCCCAAGCACAACTCCGGTGGCATCAGCAACGGATGCAGGAACAGCCACAACAAAACTTGATGATAACACAATAAATCAATCTCCCATGATCATTCTCAAGAGTCTCGTCTTTTGCCCATGCCCTCCAAGTAAAACGCCAACTCTTGCACACAAACCACGTTCCTCCAACCAAGCCCGCACGTTCCGCCGTTTGTTCGGCGGCGAACTAACGCTTAGCGGCGCACGTTCTCCAAGTCCAAGTGGCACACCAGAGTCTCGAAAAGTAAGGGGGACTCCTGAGCCAGCTGAGAAGCCCAGCTGAGAAAGCAGGCAGGGGGAGAAAGTGGCTGAAAATTGCCGAATCAATCCCGACCATCAGCCAGGCAAACTGGCCCAGTGTTGGAAAAAGAATGAAAAAGAAGAGGCAAAGCATGGCGAAACCCGGGTTCTGGGGTCACCCTGGTTATGTCGGTACGGTGACCTCCTCAAAAACGGACCTGGACCCTCCGTATAGGAGGCGTTTCCGGCGGAAACACCAAACCACCGGACTTCCGGTCCCAAAACAGCCTGTTGGGAGCTCCTGGCCTGGTATCTACGGAGACAAGGACACCAATCCACTATCCAAACAGATTCAGCGCCGAAATCCCGGATCCAGCGGAAAAGGAGCGGAAGCACATTTCGGAGCAATTTCCCAAACAGTGTGGACCTCTAGAGCTCACACACACTGTTTGGGGTCTCTTGCCGGGATCATTTTGAAGTATTTTGCGAGGCGTTCAGTTCGCGTCGGCCGGCCCGGTCTTCTTTTTAAATGACCGAGGCACCACAAGATCCGAAGCTCCTTCGAGGTCTTCAAGAAACCTCCCAGTCCGTAAATGCCTCGCTCCATGAGGGTGGCGTCTGCTTGGTGGATGCACGCGCAGTCCAAGAAGCAGAACTTCTCTCCTGGCTCCACCCACCGCTGGACGAACCGGTCCGGGCCTGTGGTCCACGTGTCACCGATGAGATGTGAAAGACCCACCCCCCAAATGACGAGGTGTTACAATTCCAATGGCAGAGTTTCATGAATCAAGACTCAAGGCATGAAACGCCTTACATCCGCCTCCTTTCTCGTAGCACATCAGAGTCCACATGATGGAGGAATCACTGACCGACCCAAATGGACATCGACTACGTCGAAATGTTTGGAAAGATGGACTTTGGGTGGCATGGCATCCGGAGACCATGCAATCTCTTGGATGCCATGTTTGTCTCTCTCTCTCTCTCTCTCGCTCTCCCTCTCTCCCTCCTCTATATATATATATACATATGCATGCGTCCGCTTCTAGAACCTCGCGAACGGCGGGCTCTCCGCGGCGCAAGTGGAGGTAGGGTGCGGAGAAGAAGGCGAGCACCGAGACAGGAGGGCCCAAGAAGACGGTCCAAATGCACCGCGGCAGCTGCGCCCTGAAGACGCTGGGCTTCGGTCAACCCGGCCGGGCCGGAAGCCGCCGGAAGTCAGTGTGAAGGAGGGGCGGTGAAATGGTCGTTTTACAGTTATCTAGACAGGTCAGGGACAATGGAGAAGAGATGAACATACTACGACTTGAGGACTTGAGCGTGGTCTGGACTGCATGGATCTCTCCCTGAAAAGAAAAGCTGCCAGAGTTTCCCACGCAGCAGCACAAGTCACATGGGCATGTCTCATCACCATGGTTTGAACACGTTTGAACATCCCAAACGGAAATGGCCTATGACTCGGGGGGCTCTGCCCGCGGACGCAGTGTACAGACCGCAGTGGCATATAGGTAGCATTATCACCTCCTCACCAACCTGGCTCTGGGTCTTGGGATATGTTTGGTGGCACAACCTCCTCACCAACCCCCCCTCTCTTGGCTCAGGTCACTTGTAGCCCTGCAGGTCGGCGAGCCAGTCCCGGGCATACTGGCGAGGGCGAGGTGGGCAGCGTGGGTCGCAAACGTGTCGCCAGGGGCAAAGGGATTCCGTGCGGGTCATGCTGCATGGAATTGGTGGGCAGATCTAGCCGCCGTGGTTAACTTGAAGCAGGATCAAAGCTGAGCAAACCAGTTGGAAAAAGGAATCACATGGGGCAATTTCTACCAAAATCATGGAACCTGCTACTCTGTGCATATTTATGAGATTGTATGAGTCATATGAGCCACCTTCAACACTTGGGAATTCCAAGGATGTTGTGCACCACAGCCAAGGAGAACGACCCGGCCGAAGTGCCTGAGGCAACACCCCTGCAAAGAAGAGGACCTGGACCAAAACAACCTGCAGACTCTGCAGGCGGTCAGCTAGGAGGAGGTGGGGTACAGGTGGGACAAAACACAACTCAGCCACCCAAACAATACACCCCTTCTGCCGCTCGACGGCAGCGGCATGTGATCATATGACGAATAGATCTTTCTTCATGATCTGAAACCGCTTTTTGAGGTCCTCACTGCAACCATGCGCAGAAAACACTGAATGGGTCATCCAACATCCGCCAGGAGCTTCTAACTTGCGACGTTTGGACCTTCCAGTCGCAACGAACACCGAACAAACCAGTCAACGAACAGCCCGTCTGGAACCCCAAACGAACCCCACGACCCACTCTCCGACGCACCACCCTTCCGCGCCGAGGGGCGCTCACCAACCACCACAGCAGAATTTGAAAGAAACCTCATCGACTCATTTCACTTCATGTGCGCGCAAAGCACGTCCAGCGCAGCGCCCCTCATCGTTTGAGATTGGAGGTGTTGGAGACTACTATCCCTGCCTTAATACAGGTGATGACCTGATGATGGATGATGGTGATGGGATTCTGTGTGAACATTGAGACCTGTGTAAGGGGTACTCTTTGTGAGCTTGAAAACCTTAAGGTTTTGATAGAGTTAACAAGGGAACATGAAAGAATTTTGCTAGAGGATTTTTAGGCAGGGATTGTGGAACAATGGACTTTAAAAAGTTGTCACATACATATTTATTCGCAGTTTTTGAAATTTTGTGTTTCTCCCTGGGGCAGCTGGGCGTGATTAATGGGGGGAGGTTTCTGGCAAGGAAACACATATTACGAGGATTTAGGTTTTAAATCATATAGTTTAGTATTGGGGGCTCGAGCTGGGCTTGACTAATAGCGGGTGGTTCATTAATCTTATGTTGACATTATAGTGAATATCATATATGAGACCTTGTGTTGCCACATTTGCAACTCTTGAAGTCACACTAGTCAGCCGGAGAGTGAACTAAGTGTTCTTTCCTGCATCCATACATAGCTTGTAAGACTTCAGAAGCTCTAGAAGGACAGGCTGCTAGCAATCTTTTGGATCACCTGTGCCCATTTCAATAGAGACCCATTCGAAAGCCAGAAGGTGTGCTGTGTTCAGGAACACTACCCCAGTTGATCCAAGCTGATGGCTCACCATCAAGCAACAATCTACCTTGTAACTTTGCCTGGATAGCCCCAACTCAGAATATGACACTGAAGAACGAGACAAGGAAAGATCTCAGGACGGACGATCTCAAATGCCCAAGCGGCCCAAGCGTCACGCGAAGACTAACACAATGGCAGCCGAGAACATGGAAAAACGACTGGTGAGCGTGAGTGGAGAAGTCTGTATAAGTTGTGGAGTTAGACCAAGAGGTCGATCACACACAAGGTTGGAAACCAATAGCATTGTAATACACATGTGATCTAGCTTCTATACGGTCCATAGACTGTGATTCAATTTGATGTGCTGAAGTTGGACTCAGAAATGAATCAGTTTTATATATACTTTATGCTTATATTAAAGTTAGTTGATCTATACGGTTAGTTCTAACTGATAATAATCTATCTATTTTGTTAAATATATACAGATAGATAGATAAATAGATAGATAGATAGAGAGGTAATTATATATATATACATGCCAGCACCCTTGAACAAGTCTCTGGAGGCTAGCTGGGAGACCTAAGCCGTGGTCACGCGGGTGACCTGTTAAAAGGTCATGAGTCCTGCGCTGTATGGATCAATGCTTCCAGGATTGGATGCAACACTATGAACATTTGAAAAGGGATCGGCCAGGACACTCAGCTGCAAAGACAAAGAGAGAAATTTCCAGAGCCCGGCCGTATGCCACGTATGCGAGAAGAAGACCTGGCGCTTGCGCCGCGCCCGGGCTTCACGCGACATGGTGAAACAACACCGGAAGACGGGGGGCACGGTCCGCCAGAACTGGCGTGCTGGGACGGACGAGTCACATTCATCCTACCCACAGGCTTACCATGGGGACCATCGACCAGCCACAGGCGTCACATGGCATTCACGGCAACGTGTTGGAATCGCTTCAGCCTCGAGGTCCACAGCGTGAAAGAAGAAATCGAACGGATCACCCTGCAGTTGAGTGGGTCCATCCCGAACTCCAAATAGGATGCTTGAAATATGTTGAAATATCATCAATAGATTCTATATGACTCTATACACAGCATTCATTGAGCCTCACCACATCTGAATCGGTTCTGGGTTCCTTGCGACCTGCTCCCCACGTGTCATCGCGACTGGCCTCATATTCCTCCACGGGACATGACCGATTCCTCAGAGTATACGGCACGTGAGCGGGCGGTTGAAAAAACGCCTTCTGAGAAGGTAGGCGGAATTGCTTGGGGTGAAAGAGAGGCCTACCCCAAACGCTCCATGGGACTGCCACATATATATATATATATATATATGCCGCCCCATTGGCCCCCGAAACCACCCCGTCGGCATATATGGCAGTCCCATGGAGAGTCTGGGTACTGCATTGGTTCCTGGGGCTGGGAAGACACCCAAACATTTCAGGACTGGGAGGGGGCGACGATGAAAAAAACAATATTAACACCCAACACTCAACGTGCCCGCACAGCGCCAGTGGTATGTGGTATTGGTCAAGCAAGATACCAATGGTACAAGATGGCACAAGACAAGCATAGACAAGCCAAACACCGTGTTCATCCATTTTCCCCAGGTCGATCTTGATCTGGTCGAGCCCCTGGCTCATTCCAACATAGTCACACCAAAGAGTAACATGGTGCTTCCAAGTCCAGCCAGCATCCCCCAGTATCATCTAACCTCCCCAAATATCCCCCAATTGGATTGTAACACCTCTGCATTTGGCGACTCGACCTCAAATCCAGAATCGCGAGGAACCCTCTCGCGCCACCTGGCCCAGCCCCCCCAGCAGGGCGCCCAGAGTCCAAAGCTTCAACTTCTGCTCCACGGGCATGTCCAGCGGGGAACGGCGCCACAATCGGCCAACCCCCCGCAAGGTGCGGCTCAACGGCACGGCACGCATGATCTCCTGGCGAAACAACCCGGTGGGATGAGAGTGGTCACGAGATGCGGAGAAACAAGCACTCCCCTATGGATCCACATACCGAACCTGAGGCGATTGGAGGCTTTTTATGTAGTCTTGAGCCCAAATACCTTCTGAGAAGGTATGTGGATCCATAGGGACTAAATGCAATCCTGATATGCGGTAGAGTTTGGGAGGTTTGCGGGTGTTTTTTCGGTTTGGGCTTCTTCTGGGTGAAACGGCTGAACCAACTGACGAAAGGATGAAGAACCATCCCATACAATCCCTGAATAGATGCCCTTTCCCAGGCCATCCAGGTGACTGGAATTGTTATATAACCCGTACACACCGTACCTCAGAAGGTACGACTAAGCTCGACCCAGGCGCCTACATCAATAGTCTCAGTCCTCACCGTACCGACCTGGTTCGGTATGCCCCGTTTGGGAGCAAAGTATAGTATCGTCCGAGTCTGGACCATGCCATCCACGTAACCATGTGTGCGATGTGTGAGTCAGGGTGTAAGCAAATCTTCCAGACGACGGATTGTTTGTAAAGGAACGTATGTCTTCCGAAATCGGGACCATGTCATCCGCTTCCATGAGATGTCGACTCAACATAGTGGTCTCACACTGGGCTCACAGTCGCTAAAGATCTACAGGACGGTTCCTTTGGATGGACACCCTCAATTGGCAGAAACAAAGAATGCCAACCAGAACAACAAGCTTCCCAAATGCTACTCAAGCACGTGTGGCCTCTCTGGAACATGACGGCAGTTGATTGATAGGAGCATACTTGATTGGTCTTCCGGGGACCTCCCATCCGGTCTGGGAGGCAAAAAGACAAACAGTCCCACACCAGTCGATGGAATCTCGGCCTTGAAAGGAACCCCAGCGGCCAAGCGGGTCATAGCGGGTCCTTGTCGATGGTGAGCTTCCTCTCAAGCAAGTGGCCCCGCTTGATCTTGCTCACTGTCCGATCCTCTGCGTCCACCCTCACCTGCGACCAACGGCCCTCCTGGAGGTGTTCGGAGGGGTGCAAGGTTCCCGCGGATGAGAGCGGAAGCATTCGGGTGAGTGAGAGCAAATCAAGAGAGCATGGCTGCATATGGCTGCATGTAAGTAAGTACTATATATAGTTAATCCTATGATCCTATAGTCCAGCTTGGGCATCAATGGTGGCTTGAAAGCATGCTTCTTCAGCTGCTGCACACCCCACCGAGGATCCTATATTACACATCCGATGTTTGGTCAAGTGCTTGGCTGTGGGCTGTGGGCTTGTCAACATCTGCACCACGAATCCAAGGGACACAAGTTCAATCGAGAAATATCTCAGAACTGTCGACACAAATTGCAATATTTGTTTGAGATTTTGACATGCCTACCTTTCAATTACAATTGCTGTGGTTGAACATGGCTGGTTGACAACAAAATACTGTTGCAACCCAAGAGCCAAACTAGGAGACCATGCTTTCAGGAATTCTGCCTGCTCTGTCTGATGAGGATCTACTTCAGCGGCACTGGTCGCTTTCAGATTTATCGATGCTCCTGCTACTAGTAGCTTCTAGCTACTAGTAGCAATGCACTTGCTCCTAGTAGCGATGCCCTTGTTACTAGTAGCGATGCCGATGCCCCTGCTTTCAATCAGGATCCAGAACCCGGCAGCATGAAATCTGCTTTCGACCGTGTATAGGCCAATCTGCCATCCTCTCTTCTACGCATTGTCTTCGTTTGCGGGTTAACTATGGTTAACTGATGTCCAAAGGGAAAAGCAAACACGTGGTTCCTCTCCTTGAGTTTGAGGTGGTGGGAGTTTGAGGTTGACGTGCCGAGGCGGCTTTGCCTTCAGCATTTGTGGGGCGTCGTTCTCATGGTCAGCACCCAAGTTGGACTCAATCGCATCCTGAGCATCACAGCACTTCCGCGATGCGTAGCACGGTTCACTCACGTCGACCAGGGACACTTCATGTGTTTGGGGAGGTGAAGTGGCCCTCGCTCGATCTTCCAAAAAGATTACACCGTTCTTCCTCTTTCCTCGGATCTGTGAAGAATCTCCTTCCGGAGTATGTCCCGTCGATCACGCCTGAAAATGCTTGGAACTCACCAACGCAACGAACCGTGAGGTGATGAGCTGAAGTGGAAAGCCGGTTTTGGGGCGGCCCATCGACTCGCCTCACGCGAGCCAGTCCGTTTTGGGGGCGGCCCGCTTCGGATGGCCGTCGGTCTGTGCTGTCTGCGCCTCCGTGGTCTCTATGGCCTCTATGGGCTCCACGGGCTTCCTTGGCTGAGGGGAGTCGTCTGGAGCTTGAGAAAGGATCTGGAGAGTTTGAAATGCCCACAACTACGGCAAGTCACATGAAACAACCCTTTGGTGGTGCTTCATGTTTGACATCAAAACTCGCCAGAATACGCGAGCTTTCACCATCCCCCACCAAAAACGTGTTGAACCGTGGGCCACATCCCAAGTCCTGAAAGAAATCTCCCAAATCCTCACCATCCAACACCCTTCAAAAACATGTTGAAGCATGGCCACATCCCACAACCTGCAAGAATCTCCCAAATCACTCCATTCCGGGCGTCACTTCCTCATGGTCGCAGCTCTGGCAACTCGGCGCTAGGCCCATCGGCCAACAGCGGAGGCTGAACGGCCTATCAGGCCTTTTCCCCCATGCGGTGCTGCCGTGTGGGTCCCAAAGGGGCGGCGGAGCGCGATGTGTGTATTCCCCAGGCACCTCATGCGGCCTCATGATGCTATCTGACTCCTGCAGATACCCTGGGAAAGTAACAGTTATAACCTGTTTTTCGACCTGTTCTTGTTTCGTGGGGCATCCCCACTCCCCCAAAAAGGTGAAAGATGCTAAAGGTTTTTGTCCACTGACTGGGTTATACCTACATTGACACCCTTTTTCCAACACTTGAACCTAGGTCACCCCCAAACAGGTCATGAAAGGGGGTCACTCGGTCGGGATACGGATCGCTGAGGATGGACTTAACTCCATCAGTTGCAATCCAAAGAAAGTCCAATGCGCCCGTATATCAAAGGGTCACTGCCATATGGGTTTGTATTTTTTTAAGGTTCCCGGGCTGGGATGTTTGACTATGGGGTATGCTTCGGAGGTATGCTTCGGGGGTATGCTTCGGGGTATGCTTCGCGCAGTGTGAAGACTAAAGTAGTAGCATTTCCAGAGGGTATGCTTCAGGGTATGCTTCGCCTAAGTCGAACATCCCAGCCCTACATAAACTGGACACCTTAAAAAAAGATAAGCCCATATGTTAGTCAGGTTTTTACCGGTGTCCGGCACAGTGAAGAAGTGCTGTACGCACAACCTCCAAGTGGGATTCTAAGACTATATAGTCACAAAAACATAGAAGTTGCAAACTCGGATCTTTTTCAGCCGTTGCTACTTTCCAAAGTGCCACACGGGCGCAACACCACAAGGAAAACCCAGAGTTGCGGTGCCCTTTTGGATCTTGCCATGGAAGCTTTCGAAAAGTGTGTAGGATGTTTTTTGGAGAATCCATTTGCCAGTTTGTTGCTGTCTTCTCATGGGCAGCCATGGCCATGCCATGCCCCCCATCGCCATCCTTCACCACTGCAGCACACAACTGGAAGCGTGGAGTCACATTGCGTCCAAGCACCACCAGGTCCCCTTGCCTGAGCAGACACGCTTTCTCACTGCAGATATGTGGATTTAGGAAACGCCCACAGTAGGACTGTAGTGATGTGGCTGAAAGGCAGGTCCTATGTGGAAGTCGCTCTATGGATGGCTAGCCCATGGCTTAGCTGTCCGGAAGAAGAACCCGCCCTTGATCGCCTTTGACTTAAAGTTGAATAAGTAGGAAAGGAAAGATCTTCCAAGCCACTCAGGGATCTGGGAGCTGTAAATGTGACCGGAATCTCCTCCGGGTGACAACTCCTCAGTGGCCGCGCCGCTTCCCAAAACCTTCCCCCAGACGGAGGGATCTGGCGAAATCAACATCCCTAGCCTTCAAAGACCATGACAGGAATGGTTGACCTTGATGTAGTCAAAAAATCCTTAGAAAAAAAACATATGGTTCTTTGGTAAAAACATGCCAACACCCTTCAAATAAAGGTGGGCCAGAAACTCCAGGGACACCCATCACCCGGAAGGCAACCCCTTCAGACATTTGATGACGGGGTGGCAAGTAGGGGTCAGCATCCCGTCATCTTAAAAGCCAAGACATGCCAGTCACTCACTATGCGAACCTATGAGGGCGGCAAATGGGGTGGACCAAAGAATAGCACGCCCAAACAGGAACAACATTCACATAAAAATGGTAGTAGAGGACAATGGCCTCTTCAGTCCATGTTCCATGTTGGGTTTTGACAGGAAGAGTCCTCACTGGCTTCGGGCCGAAAAAGGGACTGATTTTAGGGTCTGTCCTATTACCAACAAATATGCAATAATTTATTATGATGGTTAGATATGGTTAAGTTGCAGGCCTTGTTCCAAAAGCAGTGATAATTTGACATTTGATAATTATTTACTGACTGCTACAGGTAAGGACGGACAAACCCAAGACTGATTGCTCAACCAAGCCTCAGGGATTGGGTGCAGCATCTGCAGTCCCGCCAGCCCCGAGTTCGCGTTGGTGGCGCTCGCGGAGTTCGCGCGAGGGGAGTCATCATCCACGCTGATGATCGAGGTGGACTTACAAACCTCAGTGACCGCGGATGATTGGAAGCTCTTTCTCAGGGCCTCGGTGCCCCGCATGGGAAAAAAGGGACGGAACTTCTCGTCTTTCATCGATAGCAATCCAAAATCTTTCGGTAGTATGGGACATGTCTGGATGTCCTGATATATCAAATGAATCAATCATCTGTGGGAAAGGGATCAAACAATGACCATGAGTTGGGCGGAAGTGCCATTTTGCCGGGCCACCTCGTGGAATCCCCAACACAGTAGACCCTGGCTACCTCGGTATTAAGTGGAATCCCCAACGCACTAAACATACCCAGACCAGGGACATTTGGATGGGACAGGGTAAAAGTCCATACTCTAGGCTTCCAAGACCCTTACAAAATGGTTAACATGGTTTTGATATCCTACTGGTTTGGAGAGCACACCCATCTCTCCCATCCACATGCGGTTTCCGATCTTATAGTTCGAAACAACATGCCAACTCAGAAACTCAGTCTCCTCAACAAAACTGTCCTGTAGTGCACATTCTTAACTGTTTCCAACTACTTGGACCCATCAACTAAACCCAATGCATGAAGACTGTAGAGCACTACAGTATGAGCACTACTTGATACATGTTAGACCCACCTGCACAAAACCAACAAAGTCATGCAACTTCCAGCGTCCCAACGATTCGCCAAATCTAATCAATTCTTCAGATTCGCAGCAGCAACTGGCACCTCTGTCCCACGTCGCCAGTCTAGCCAAATCAAACGTGCTGTGCCAAAGGGTTTCCATAGGGTTTCCCTGTCAACTTCATGTGACTCAACTGGAGGTGATCGGAGTCTCTCGACGGGTCTCTCAGTGCGGCGCCGCAACCCAACGAACGACGCCCGGACGTTCGGCTCCCCACAAAACAACATGAGCTGAAGGGCCATGGGGTGTTCTTCCTCCGCCTTGGAGGGAGCCTCCACCAACCTGAGAGCCGTTCCGAGACTTGACTCTTGGGCAAGGAGTCCCCGTGTTAGCAAGTTCCCCCCGTGTAACGATAGCGACCAATGGATATGGATGATGGTTACAGTCTTATCGTGGATTGTTTTAGCTATATGTGCAGAAATAAGATGGCCATTATGCTGGGTTTCCTTCCGTCTAGGAAGCTCTGTAGGTTTGGGGCGGTGCGTCTCTGGTGTTGTTGACCAAACGCAATACTATGGTGCTCATTATGCCGCTATTGGCCAAAGAGACACAAAGATAAAAAGCCTGGAAGATTTGGGAATCTTTTTTCGCTTCTAGGAAAGGTACAAGCTTCATGCGACTCAGTGAATCGCAGTGCAAAAAAAGATCGTGCCTGACAGGTGTTTGGACGCCTGCATCTACCTTGCGCGAAATGTCCTCCACATGTATCCAATGATTGGTTCTGTTTGATCCCATGTTTCACACTGCTCGATTGCTCCATTGGTTTGTCAACCGCATTGCAACCGCATTTATTGTAGTACCCAGACACTCCATGTATAGCCTATTTACCTACGGGACTACATTGGAGGTGCCAATGGGGCGGCATATTCCATGCATCGAGTGTCTCGAGATAGGCTTTCAAACTTTCCCGGGAGTTCCCAGGTTCCGAGAAGAAGGTTGGTTCTTGGTTCCCATGAGCTCATGTCTTTCGCTCTCCCGAAGTGTGTCCCTGTGGGCGAAATCGTCGAGGCGCCAGGAGATGAAACCCAAAAAGCCGCTGGAGCAGGACTGCGGCGGGCTGGAAGAGGGCCTCGGTTGGTTGGGAGTCCAGATCCAGGATGCACAAAGGAAGTCACACGATCCAGGTGGTTTGGGAGGTGGAGGTCTCTTCCTCTTTTGGTGAAGAGGAGGTAGGACCAAAAGAAGCCTCCCGTCTCTAGAAGATGGCCTGCATTGGGTGTGTTTCTGGGTATAGTGAATCTAGGCTGGCTTACATGGAGCGGTTGGGATTCGTTTGGGGTGTGGCTTCACAGGTGTAAAGCACATTGAACTTCAAACTGTTTATCACACGCAACTTGGTGTCCGCAGTGGTGAGCTGCTAGTAGAAGTCCAAAGACCATAATAGAGGACCATTGAAGTGAAGGAATGCGCCAACGAACTTTCTCCCCGGATCCCGTCAATCGTGTGATCACGCCGAACTTGCATGAGCATAAAAAGGGAAACTATTGGTGCGCCCACCAATGGTCAACTCGAGAAATGCCGCACGTACCCTGCAAATGCCATGCAGAATCCATGCTGAAACTGTTCAAACTCTTCCTCCCCGAAACCCATCCTTTCTTTATCCCCAAACGCCGGGACTTCGCCGAGTGACTTCGCCGGGAACGAGCGGAGGTCTACTGGTTTGGAATCCGCCGTGGAGAGCCCTGGAGGCGGCCAGGCTGGAGGCGAAGGGAGTCATGAGTCGAAAAGGAGTGGCCAGTGAAAGGAGGTCCATAGTAAGGTCAGCCGTGCATCGAACCCATGCAAACCAGCATCCACTAGATATTTGAAAGAAAAGCTGTCCAACAGGAACACCATGCATGGTGAATCAGTGAATCAAACATGGACAGGAATATCGTTTTATGAACAGAATTAATTATGAACTCAGAATTGTTCATAAGGAGGAGATTCACCCACTCATAGAACAGAATGCCTATCTTTGTTTCCATCTTTTCTTGCTCCGGTCCCGCCCCGACTCGTCGGCCTGGTTGCTTGCGCCGGTGCCCGGACAGCAGCGTCACCATCTCCTCGCGCCGTGGGTCGCGTCGTTCCGCTCCCAGCACCCGACCGGTTGGAGACCGGAGACCGGTTGGAGACCGGAGACCGGTTGGAGACCGGAGACCGGTGGTCAAGACTCTACCAAATGTGTGTATAATTTACCCATGTATGATATATATAGAGTACATATCTATTATATATATGTTGGGGGGAAGTGGCTATACGTCCTTTTGATCTATCTAAAATACAACTCAGTGATATTTATATATATATATATACGTGTATTTTTTCACCGTAGTCGGGCCGGGAAGTTTGAATAGGTGGTATGATTCGGGGTATGATTCGGGGGTATGATTCGAGGGTATGATTCATATGATTCGCAGATGATTCGCAGCTTTGAAGTTGTATTGTTGGATTAGCTGGACTTCCAGCAGTGGGCCCACTCTGCGCCGAGGCAGTAGGCAAGCAGCATCTGTTGGATGCTGGGCAGACTAGGCAAATGCACTCTTCCACCAAAGACTCCAGTGGCCCTCTGCAGGCCCCACCAAAACAACCAGGATGTGGGATGGGTGGGAGACTGTGTGGAGGTGCGTGATTCGGATATGAATCGGGCATGAATCGGGTGTGATTCGTATGGCCATTAAATTCTGCAAGAGAAGGCGGTCCTTTGGCTCTTCTTCCCAAGGGAGAGCACATGGGAACATTATGAGCACCCCTGGGATGTGAGCCTTTGCTCTTCCCACAAGAAGACACAAACAATTTTGGCCAAATATGGCAAAATTGAGTGCCCATGGATCACACAATTGCAAACGTCATGCACCATTGGCTCATGGACATCTACAAGGCACAAAGACCAACCAAAAACTTCACCTTAACACCTGGTTCTTACGTGTAACGTTTTGAGGGGTATGATTCGGGGGTATGATTCGAGGGTATCAATCGCTCAAGTCGAACTTCCAACCACTACATCAGGAAGTACACGCCAAAAAAATACAAACCCATATATACATAGATGGTCTGGATCTTCTAAGGCTCGCCGCAAAGGGCCTGGAAGGTGCCCCTGGAAAACCCTGGTGCGACACGGGTCGACGTCCACCAAGCACGGAATCCGTTTGGTGCCCAAAGTTAGGCACTCCTTTGGAACTGCCGGTTAAAAGAATGCATTCGCAGCATTTCGCAGCTACATTGTTGGGGAGCTATAAAAGTTGCACAAATCAAAAAAAGGCACAGTGTTCGACAAAGAAGGCGCTAGGTCAACAAGCTTGACTCTTGCACCAACACTACGAGACCTCACAAGGCCGCTCCGGTCTGCCATACCCAACCAACTGTCCAACGGTCCTCTGATCTCCCAGGTGCAACCCCCCGTAATGTACCCCTCAAAAGGCCCCGTGCACCCACGTTACGCACCCTGTCATGATCCGGCAGCTTCAACTTCGGTGCCAAAGCCGGCTGCGAAGGGGCCAGCGGCTTCTGGATGTAAGGTGACAGAAACCTGTCACGATGCAAACGCCCAGGTCTTCAACGTCTTCTAGCCAAGCAAAACATGCCTTTTGAGGACTCAACGGCTTGGCATGGCTGTGGTATACAACATCCAACCCATCCATCTTCAGAAGGTCTAACCCAAACACTCTGCGTATAGGCATCTTGATGCGACATACATCCGGGTGGTTGCAGGAGTCACTGTAGGTAAACATTCTACACATGGAGTGTCTGAGTAATGTTATTATATAAGTATATAATCTTGATGAACAAACCACCCCGTATATGCAATGAAGAGGGTTTACAATCCAAATGGGTGCATCAAACCCACTGAATACCAATAAGGGTTGGTGTGGGCGCGCTCAGAGTCGCAAGTCCGTGCATCCAAATGGGTGGATTTTTCAAGGTTTGATTCATCATACACTTGCCGTGTTGACAGGCGCTGATGCTCTCCCACGTAATACCGGCTGGTGAGCCTCTCGGCTTCCCCACTGACCGGCTCATGAACCATCGACTTCATTCCGCGTTTGGGGGAACGTTCCCTCTCCCAAGGCGTTCGCCCACGCTGCCTGGGTTCCAATAGCAAGGCCGTGGCATGGTCTGGGATGGGATCCTGCAGAAATGATGGGATCCATGAACAATCTGGGATGGAATCCTGAGTGGTTCAGGATGCCATCCAGCTCAAGGTATTGGGTGCTGCTTGACGCTGGCTTGGATTTGCTGTCCAGGAGAAGCCGGGAAAAAAGGCAAACACAAAACAATCCCCCATGCCAGGCCTATTCACCGTGATTCTCCAGGAAACATCAACACATGCACCCAACATGTCCGCAGAAACCCCAAACGCTGGGGCATTTGGAGCACCGCGCAGGAGCGCTGCTCGTCCGGTGTTCTTTTGGCGCTCGCCGGACGCCACGTATCGAGCCCGAGCCACGAGCGCCTCGACGGATCGAACCTTGGAGTCGTTGGATCGAACCTGCTAAAGTCGATCCTTGATGTCTTATTCCCAGACACGACCCGTCTATGACTGGCAGTTCGGACTGCGAAACGGCCAGGAGTGGTGGTTGAAAAGGGGTCAAGGAAATCAACTATGGCAGTCCCAGACAGGTCGTGTCTGGGATTTGTACATCTCCCAAACACACTTGGCCTGAAGCTGATCGCTCTTGCATTCAAGGATGTTCAATGTGGGTTCACCTGTGAACGCCCAAAAACCAGTCCAGGGAGAAAAAGAGAAGCCCTGACGCAGCCTGCTTGAAGGAACAGAGCCCAAAAGCCTGCTTGAAGGTCTGGGGTGCTTCGTAGCTACCGAACACGCTTACTGAACCCATTTCCTAGATATTCTCAGCTCAGTCCTCTGCGATTGGACACGTTTTAAATACCCGGGCTAGCCAGAGGAGTACCAGTGCTCTGCAAGACGTCCAGTCCGCATTGTTGGGCAAAACGATTTCGCTTCTTGACATCTTGCAGGATGTCATCCTTGAGTTTCGACCCGGCTCGATCAAGTTATATAAACTCCACCCCCTAAAACCATCATAGAAATGGAAAATAGTGGAAAGTATAGGGGCCCTTAGAAGACCCGGAGATCCTGGTCAGCTTAATTGAACCGTTAGAGGGAGATACCTACATTCCATACAGACTTGGATTGGCTGTCCAGGAAGCCAGGAAAGAATTAGCAACGATATTCTCCGCGGCAGGGGATTCACCCAGCCAGGGGACATGTAAATCACCCCGACCCTAAGCAAAACCAGACTGCAACTGACTCGATTCTTTAAGCTTTCATGCAACCAGGATCAGCTGTCACTCCAACCCAACTCCACTCGCATTCCGGATCCTCCAGACGCACGCACAAGGTGAGCTTGTCTTTGCGACCGCTGGTGGGTTGAACGAAGCAAGGATGACCTGAAATCACCAAGCGCCCCGGTGTCAAGCAGTTTCGTGCCATCGACATCGCCGATTTCAAGGAACAGGGGGGCTCTAAACCCTATATCCATGTCGTCCAAGTTCGGCTTCTTCGCATTCCGATTGTTTCCCTCCACAACACCACAGCTGGAGTAACACCGTCGCTTGAGCTCCAGGCCATGTCGTCGATGCTCACAAACATGGACGACGTGGCCATTGAGATGTCTGCCGAGGTCCACCGACGGCGAGGCTCGGGGGCCGAGGTCGGACGGCTGCAGTGGTTTTTAGAGGTCCCAAACGCGACGTGTCTGAGACTGCCATAGGACTGCCGATCAGGCCAGGGCCGTGCCAGGGGGGGTCAGTAGGCATATATTCCAGACATGGAGTGTTTGGGGGTGAAGGTTGGTTCAAACACCTCCCCCAAAAAATGTCCTACAACGTATGGTCATTCACTAAGTGGGGGTCCTAGAACCACCGTTTCAGAAGTGTGGGAGTTCATTTGTCCAACAAATGGTTTATACCATGCTATGCCTGCAGCCTCCCGAAGTGAGTGGACACTCAGTGCATGCACCAGGTTCACCCACTTCAAGGCCCATGAAAAACAGCCCTAGGGGACCTCCTCAAAAAGGATCAAAAAGGTGTCTGGACCCTCCCCCGGCTATGCAAAAGGTGTCTCCAATCACCCTCTCAAAGGGATTTTGGATCCATAGGGCATCCGACTCTGTGGATTCTCTTGGGGCCTTTTTGAGGTGCATGGAAGCACCTCTCCCTGCCCTCTTCCGCCGCTGCGGTCGTTGAACAAGCCAGCTCCAGCCGCCTCATTTTACCTCGGATCGGACCGTTTCATGGTCGTTCACAATGGTCCGGTCCGGCATTGATGGCTGGGAGGTAAGGAGAAACTGGTTCATATGACTTGGTATTAGGAACGAAGGTCATAGGCCACGGCTTTGGTGTCATCCATCGATAACTATGTGGGATCTGATTTGAACTAAACCGGAAGGAGAACATTCGAATGAAGAATGTCAACCATGCCCCCCAAAGGGGACCCAATTTACCAGAATCAAGAAGAAACACGCTGAGTAACCTTGGAACACGGGGGATGAGCGCACTCGCAACAATTCGCGATGCACCCTATATAATGACTCCGAAATAAGCAGGGCACCTGGAAAAGAGACGGGCAAACTGCCAAATCCTGCCAAAATGTTGGTGCCTGCTAGGGTAAACATATTGGGTTGCACAGAAGTGGTCAAGTCATGCGCTGCTTGACTCTACACTGCAAATGTTTGAATTGGCAATGGCAATGGCAAATCTGCCCTGGTTTAAGAACACACGCAATAGGTCTTAAAATTATTGTTCTTGCTGAGATTTGTTGAGTGAACATGTTCTCCATCACTCCATGTGATTTTCCGTCCCAGCTTCCACTTCCCACCGGTGTGCTTTCTATTCTCAGTTAAGGCGCTACTTTGAAGCCCGCCAATCACCAGCCGGGCTCCGGCACGCCATTCTTTGTGAACCTCAGGGGCGAGGTGAAACGCGTTCCTCATGAGGGAAGCCACAAGCAAACTGGTTATGTGGCTTCCCTCATAACCCCGCCTTTAGCTCAAATCAAGCCTTGCCTCAACATAAAGCCTAACCTTGTTTACCAAAGAACCTGGCCTTTTAACAAGGGGTGCCGTAGTTTAAACTCCTTATTGGGTAAAACGGTAAAACATAGTAAAACCATGTTTTTCGGTCAAGAGTCCAAAGCATTAAATCGACGGTGGGCCAGGAATCCTATGGAAACCAATGCCTTTCGAGGTCTTGGAGGGTTTGTCGAAGCCACTACCCAGTGCCCAGATTGCTTCTAGGGTCCGTGCGTGCCGGGAACCAAGCATCCGCTGATCCAGTGCACTGATGATAGACAACCCACACCAGCAGGTTTCAGAGCAGTACAGCTTGATCTTTCAGATGTTCGTTCCGCTGGCGCTCCAGCAGTAGCGCAGTCCCCGTGCATTTGAGACTTCGACCTTATCACCTCGAACCTCTCAGTGGTTCTTAAAAGACTTGCAGTGGATTGGGAGTTGCAGCTACGCTGCAGAAGCTCTTGCGAGGCAGTGATGAAGTGATCAAAGTATGCATCTACTTCAGACATGGATGGTCGGGGATACTCACCTGGAAGAAGCACCTCTTTATTCAAGGCCTCAGGCCTCCACCCTCCTCAGATTGTCCATCCCCGGTGCGAGGCATCCACCTTTCATAGCATTTCTACGCCACTCCTACGCCACTCCAACGAGGAGGGCGTCAGAATCCCCGTCCGCCAAGGTGACCGCGGCCCAAACCATCCATGGATGGAACAGTTACTTCTACGGATGGGTCACAAGTCCCATGGTGCATCATCCCATGGAGTCCCGTCGAGTCCGGAGTCGCCGGCGTTCGGCATGTCTCCGGGCCACTGGCTTCACATCATCCAAGGCCACTTGGCACTCGCCCACCCGAAAGCTGCGCGAGGGGTCCAGCACAGCCACCTCGCTATCACGGGTCGCTCCGCGCCGCTCCCCGTGCGGCACCGCTCCCCGCCGCCCGTCCCCCCAAAAAAGGGAGCCAAACAGCTGGTTGTTTTCCTCCGCTCCTGGTGGGATGTCAGGTGGTCACTGATAAGATCGTCCCTACTAGTATAGGACGCAAACATTTTTTGTTGATTCTGATGGACGAGTTCTGTTGCACCACTCTAGACTCGCTAGATCAATTATACAGCTTACATATATAGGTTGATACCCCGGCTCTTTTGCATCCTGGCTCGAAATCCAAAGCAAAAAAAAAACGCATGTTTCTTGCCCAGAAGCCGTGCAATGGGTGCAATGCTGTGACCCGGTCTCCACCCGGGTGACCACGGCAGCGCAGCTTTGGTACTCAGGGTGCACACCTGGGCGGAGCGGCCAAATGCTCACGAAGCTGCCGTCGTTGTATCTGTACTCAGCGATTTCAAGGGATCCATCTCAACATGAGACCAGGTTGCCTGCGATGCATTTTGGAACCCAGTTGCTGGACCCCTCCGGTCCCCCCGGGCCAGGCCGGATGGTCTAGGCGTGCCTGGGCTATGCCTTGAAAGAGTTAGTGATGGTGAAAAGAAGCAGCCCAGTCACCTCTAGCTTCCCAGTGACCAGTCTCCCCTGGCTTCGGTCACGAAGGGTCCAGCCTGTAAAGGGTCACGTAGGATGGGGCCTCCCAACAATGCCACTGGGAAGGTCCTGGAAGATTCACTGGGAAGGTCCCATCTTTTCAGGGACCGAACTGCCAACAGAAGGGAAAGACCAGTCAGTACAGGTTCAGCACGCATGAAGTCGGGCATCGGGCAGATTGTGTGTGCAGCATGTTCTTGGTCTTCGCATGTGCCACCTTTTCAGCCACCGGTTCGGCTCTTCATGACCAGCTCCTGATCAGTCCTGATCTCCAGATGACCGGCTCTCAGGACCCGATTTCATGCCGGGTGGCCAAAGCCAAAACCCAAAATCACCAAATCTCCTTGCCTGGGCGGGGAGCAGAAATGAGCAAGGTGGCCGCAGGTAGCAGGGCGGTTGTGTGGCAAGGCTCTGTGGCCGCCCTTCTCGTTGAAGGCAGCTTGAAGGCCATAAGGCATGCCACGGCCACGCTGGCTTCCTCACATCCTTCTCACACACGGCGGGTGGAACCGCCTATTTGGCCACACCCAAAAAGTGCATCTGAGATGAGCGGTTGGCTGTTGGTATGCCTCAAGCTTTTGTGCTGCTCTATTGGATAAAAATGACTCCAAACTCCAAATCTCCCTTATCCAAATCGAGGGTGAATCATGGTGAAACCGGGAATGGCATGTGGTTGGTCCTTCCGTTCGTGAAGCCTACACCTTAAGACTACCCACACATTACTTCAAGAGAAACGGTGTGTTTTCAGTCATGGACATGGACCCACCCTTGTCCACCCTTTTCCCATGCCCTTCTTAATCCCCGAACTCCACATTGGCCGAAGCGGAGCTGGAGCGAACTTCAAAGCGACCGGTCGCGACCGGTCGTTCGAAGGGATCGATCCAGTGGGACGCCGGATAAACCACAACCCTGCGACCCTTCAACATCTGCCGGAAAGCAGGTGCATCGGCGAAGTCATCCCTTTTCTGAGTAGTCATCGTGGTCCTCAACGGTCTCTGGCAATTTAAAGTGGCCAGCATGAACGCCGGGGAGCGAGACCAAAAGCTGCGTTTACTCTCTCCACGTGCAGCTTCTCAGAACACGTCGAACTATATAATAAACCGTTTTTGTTCAACCCTTTTTCGACCCATCCCCCAACAAATCAAACCGTTTTTTCCAGAACAATGGATGCCCTCTCTCAGGCCTAGCCGCCCCCATTTGCCCCGAACGCGTGGCACACCAGGGTGCTCTGGCTTCTCGTTGCTCCGCTTGCACGACTCCCGGGAGGGGCAGAAACCGCCGGCCATCCGGCCGTCGTCCGGCGGGAGGATGATCGATTGGAGCCTGCAACCGGCAACGGGGCAACCAGAAAAAGGGCGGTTTTGACCGCCCCCCCAAGTGACGTAGTGGATGCAAGAATCGCATGGAATGCCAGTAAAGCAAAGTAGAACAAAAAACAATACATTCAAAGACATTGGATCGATATAAATACCATTAAATACCTCCCAATGGCACTGCATGGATCTAAACAACCTCCCTTTTGGGACGCAGCAGGTATCAAAAGAAGCTCAAGTGTTTCGTGTTCCTGCGCCTACAAAGGCCTGGGAGTTCTTCACGGCGATCAAGGCTATGAAGCAGCGCCTCCACCAAGGAGAAGAGGCCTTGGTCATAGGGCGAACATGCCCATGGGACCATGGTCCATATTTCTAGCCACTTCAGGAGTCTGGGGGGTACAAAACAAGCGCATAGGTTGCATAGGACATCTTGGTTGAAATCCATACATACCCCCCAGTAGACGCAGCTACCAATGTCTTTTGCAACATCCAGAGTGGACTTCCCCCATCAAGGCGCATTGGGGTCGCTCTTCGCAACGGTTGCCAAGGCATGCCAAGGCCAACAAAGACAAACCACGTGATGCTATGTCTAACGCCATGTCCCAGTGAATCTGGCAAGTCCCTCGTAATTGGACTCCGACAGAACTAGAGATCTGGTTCAATCCAATCGGGGTTCCAACTGAGGTGTCGTCCTCTTCCTCGGTGTAAGTGCCGTCAATGATGTGCCAGCAGTCACAAAGGGGTGCGATCCATGGAGGATAGGGTCCCCATGATCCACTCACTGAGGGACTAGAAACCACCCCTTTGTGACTCCTGGTGGTTGGACATGATGTGACTCTGTTTTTTGCCAGCCACTTCCCGCCTACACCGAAGACTCTAACGATGCGAGCCCTCGGCGACTCGGCATTCCGATCTCCGTTGGGTGCGCACGCCTGCGCCGCAGTTGCCGTTTTGGGTGCACGGGGGCATCCGCCGGTGCCTGCCAACGCAAAGAGTTGGATCGATGGATAGAGTCCGGTGGAACCCCGACAGAAACGTGTTCCAATGGGACCGGAAGAGTGCGATCGGACTGATCATAAATGGTGTCTTTCTTTGTAAGATTAACGCTTCCAAACATGGAAGGTCTGGGAATATTACATGGTGATAGGGACTTACTTGTCCTTGTGATACGAAGGTTGCTACACATGATTCAAGACCGATGTTACATGGGCAATGATTGACATGGATGGCGAGCCATGAGATCGCACGAGTGGTTCCAGTTTTCCCTCCCCAAGTTGCTGACGTGGAGTTCTTCATGAGGCCCGAGGGCCTTATAAGCTGTCACAAATCGGTTGATTTTTCGCTAGAATCCGCTAGAACATGCCCCACACACTGCACGTATGGAAGGTGTGACTACACTGCCGAGTTGTGTCTGGGTGCTAGAATCTAGAACAGCCCCCCATTCATCCGCACAACTTTGCAAGTCTCTCAATCCATGAATGTCAATATCAATATCCATCAAACGAAGATACAGTAGTTCTAAAAACAACAACGGACTACTCCCGAATTACAAGAGGAAGCTCCAGAATGCTCCAGGTAAGTTTCCAGGACCTGTCAAAAAGGAACAGCATAGTAATTAAAGCAACATCTGTCCTCCTCATGAATGTGTACTGTAGCGACCAAAAGCAGAATAAAGTAGATAGTCTAGTACTGTACATCCCCTCTTTAAAATGCACTGAAACGAACGCCCGTGACGGTCTGCCCCTCTTTCCTGCCTGAAAAACCAGGCTAAACCCCGCTTGCGAGCCGTGCGGCCGTGCGTGGAGCCACAAAGAGCTCTGTTGGCGAGCGAAGGAGTTAAACGAAGATTATGATGGGTCAAAACCAGGGAGCCCTTCTTCGTCGATAATTGGAACCCCTCTATCGCCAACAATGGGTGCCCCATGTAGCGAAAAACCTTCCAGGTAGGTAGGTCCGCCAAGGTATCCTGGTGCCATGACCCACAGCCAAATGTTTGTTGCTTCTTGACTAAAGAAAAGTAAGCAACTACCCCCTGGATGATCAAACATATCCATATGGGCTGTTGATTTTAATCAATCCAGGAGCTGCTCAGAACATGTGTCCACGAGACTCTCGTGGATGGGTTAGACTCGATCAGTTCTCCATATTACTGTTCTTGTACACTTCCCGAGGCCTTGTAATTAGCTTGACTCTCCCAGTGGTCAGGGACATGCCCATCGCCACTTGGGGTCCATGTTTCAATTAACTGCTCACCAATGACCCACCCACCCACCCATCCACGCTTCACCACCCCTGGCCGGCTCCCCCAAATAAAAGCGAGTGTTGCAAGCGTGCGGTGTGTGTGTGTGTGACACGTGTTTATAACACATTGGGTTGGAGAACAAAGTAACACCCAAATGCAGCTTTAAACCAAGGTGTGCGACAAACCTTTTTGGCAAAACAATCCGTGATGATGGACGGATTTGGTGACTGCACTTCCCGACCAACTACAAAACACAAGCATACACACACATTAGATCATGCTCCAGCCGCCGACCCCGCAAAAAAATCTGCGGCCCCGCACAAGCTCAATCCCTTCCGCGAATGAGCTTTGGCCCAATCGGGTCGTAAACGAACCGCCTGCAAAGGTAAACTTGCTCTTGGCCGCGGGCGAACGATCATGAAAGCAACGTGTCAAAGGAAACCCGCGAACATCAAATACTGCATCCGAATCCATCAAAGTGAAGTGTTCTCGACCTGTTAATATTGTAAATGTTGATATTGAATCCGAACACGCACGCACTCAAACAAACATCCAACATCATCCAACCTTTGAGATGAAGTGCCTTCTCTGCTTAGGAGTTTCTCACCTCTCTTTCCATCCCAAGTCCATCTTCACTCTCCACCCCATTCCCCACCCAACCACTGAACTCCACTCCCCACGCAGAACGTCGCCTCCTCAGCAGCCTGGAGCGCCGATTCGTGGCTGCCCTTCTTCGCATAGGCCGCGGCCAAGTTCGACTGGATCGTGGCGGCGAACTCCGCGTCGCCCGCCTCCTGGGGCGGAAGAAGTGAGCGAGGTGTTTTCCTCGATTTCCAGCGTCGCTTCATTGGATGAAAATGGCGTGTTTGGTGGGTTCACCGGTGACCTTCTATAGGTGGATGAAGTGGTGGAGTTGAGTCAGGGTAAACAGTTATAGTTCCAGCTCCGGCGCCAGGAGATACAGTCCGTTTCCTGCTCGGGGAAAGTATGGAAAAGGTCAACTTTTTGCCGAGGACTCTATCCGGAAGGACACCCCAGGCATGGACCGCCAGAAGGTCAAACAGCCAAGCAGTTCAAATGGTGAAGCATGTACCAACCCGCTTCAGTGTGTAGATGACCAAACGGGACAGCCATCGTTCCACAAATGACGCAATCAGGGAACACCGGGGAAACAACAAAAAACAACACCCATCCTTATGAGAACCTCCAAGACCTGGCCTCAAAATCCCAACTACCGGTGCCTGGTGAAAAACCGCGTGGGTGGAATCCGCCAGTCGCTAACCCTGGTGACGAGCCGTCTAGTTCAGGAGTGGGTTTCTTGGAAAGTCTTGGGCTCTTAGGGAAAATGGATGCCTTGCATGAATCAGTAAGATACACTTCCCGACACATCATGGAATCCGAGCAGAAAACTTGGCCCGTTGGATGACCTGTTTTCCTCTACGGGAAAACAGTGCTCCACTTCCAGGTTCTTTCCGGGAGTCTGCAACATTCCATATCACCTTCACAGAATCAGTGCGGCACGTTTCCTCAGAAACTGAAGGGTTCGAAGCAGAACATGTTCTCGGCAAACGGCAGTCTTTCCCTCCTGAAGCCATAGTCACTCTTGAGATCTTCGGAAAGAATACAGCCCCCTCAAGACTCTTGGCTCCAATGTCAAGTGGTTCTTAAGTCTTATGTAAAACAATGCTTAAATATACCTGGACCAACCAAGGGGTGCCCAATGGAAGCCTATAGGTAGTGTGGGGTAGTCCATTGGACACCCCTTGGATGGTTCTGGTATATTATATTAGTCACTAGTCTGTGGGATTTGAGCCAGGAGCTCTGAGGAGGTATACAATAATATACTATACAAGAGCCAGATTCTCCACCGGTGCAGGAGGTCCACACTTTCTAAACAAACCAACCATCCGCAAAAAGCAGTCTGCAGTGCCAACAAACCACGTCTGCATGATGGGATCCTTCACCTGTTCATTGGCCATACAGCACTTATGCCATTCTCCCCAAGTCTGGTGAGCATGATCTTGTGCCCCAGGTCTGCAGTTTTACTCGTCCATTGTCCCATCCGTGTCCACTTGGCGAAAGCTCCTGCAACGCTTCCTTGTAGCTGCTGATGGCTTGGTCAAGGCGCCCCTCCTGCGCCGTGGAGGACAGGCGTTCGGATGGAGAATGCTCGACCGACCAGCTCCCGGACTCGTGCTCCGCTTGGAGCGACGAGAGTGCTCCTCCCATGTCCGCAAAGACTGGGATCCATGATTTAGGAGGTCTTTCCCACAGGGTTCCTAGTTCAAAGGTTTGAGTCCGGCCTATTGCCCGGCCTGGAGTCTATTTTTCACAACCAACGGCCTATCTCCCCGAGTCCGGACGGCCTTGGAACGGCTTCTGGAACGGCGAAACGCGTTTCGCTGGCACACATCTGTCGATGGTCGCTGCAGCACATCACTCCAGACCCTCCAACCGCGGTTGCTGACAAATACAAAGATAACATGACAAATACCAATGACCTCAGCAAGCACTGAATACATGTCATGGGCACTTTGAAGATCCACAGCACTGTATCTCTCCCTTCCCGGAAGGGCGAGGACCGCCCGGTCTGGCTGACCCCGGGCCGTCTTCCGGGCGGTGTTCACTCCCATGCTGCGGACGATCGATCTGCGAACGGGAGGAGCATGTGATCAGTAAGTGGCTAAGCGGCTATTCCTTATTCGCAAGAGTGTAGCAAGCACCGTGTATGACTGACTCTTACATACTCGTAGGCGAATGGGACCGAGAGTCGGCTATCCCTGGCTCAAGGCACCGTGTATGACTGACGGATATACATACTCTTAGGCGATTGGAATGGGACCGAATGTAGAGAGTAGGCAGATCTGCGAACGGGCTCTTGGGTATTGGTATTGGGCATCTTTTTGGGGAGTATGATATAAGTCACTACACGCAGGCGTGGGCTGAGGATTTGGCTCAGTATATGCTGCGTGATCCTTCCCAGCGGCTCACGGGAGAAGAATTCATCATCTCCCCGTCCAACCTAAAATGAAATCCATAAAATGGTGATGATGAATGAATCGGGCGAGGCCCCGTGTTCCACCATGACTCATGCATGATCACACAACACCACCAAGATGTGGTTCCTCTGGTTTCGAGCCTTGTGTTTTCATGTTTTTGACAGACCCACCCCCATCCAGTACTTCTTGTCGTTCGCCCCATCCACCGCTTCTGTCAGCTCCCGTGTGGACGATCCAACGACCCGTGTGGTCCGGCTCGAGGGTGCGGCTCCTTAAAGTTCGCATCGCCCTGCTGCTTCTTGGGGCCTGCAGTGATCGACTGCGGGGTGCGCTGAAGCTCCACTGGAACGGATCCCGGTCAGGCGGGGTGAGTTACTCCAGCCTTTGAAAGCTGCAAGTGGCAAATTTGAGGGCAACATCGTGCAACTACATTTGCCACTTGAAACCCCAAGTGACATCTGACAAATTACCCATGATGATCCATGATGCTTGTTAAGCATCACACTCCTTAGGGCTGCTGTTGGGCCCCTTCTAGGACTCTGGTGCAAACCTCTCGGCCCAGCAGCTGGTCTTTGCCACAACCACTTGGAGATTCTCCGGCTTGCAGCGCACCTCGGCACTGGGTTCGGCCACCGAGTCTTGAACCCCTGGAGGTTCAGTGAGTGCTCCAATAGCATTTGCTGACTCGGCCGTCACACGGCATTCGGACCACCAGAACCTGCCATGGC